GCACAAGGATCTACCTCTTGACTTGAATATCACTGGAGTGAGGTCAGCATTGCATGACTCAATCGTGGATAAGCATGCAGTCATTTCTCTGCTGTTGCATCGGACCTTGCAGTTGTTCTTAGAGCGACCTGAAAACATAAGATCAGACACGGTAAGAAGAATTATTGTTTTAAATGGCTTATGTAATGTTTGGTACAGTTTAACGAATCTAAACTATCTGCTATGGGCAAGTTGTTAATCGCACCCTAACGAGGGCTACGTGTTGTTGCTCCCTTGTTTCACTGAAGCAAGAAGTAACTTGCGCACGAATTACCTTTACCAGAGTTGACAACTAGAAACAGACAGGAGGGGGCTTGTCATTTGCCTCCTTTTATTATTTTGCTGCTCAAGCATGCTTCATAGGGTGTATTGTTGTCCACTTTGTTGCAGTGTGACACGGAATTAGTGACTGGATAATCCCTTTTCTGCAACAAAGGGCTTCTGGTAAATAGCGCTGAGCTGGCTTCACCAGGAAGGGGGTCCAGGAAGGGCACCCGTGTAGTGTGCAAACACTCGGTCTGTGTCTCAAAACCAATTGAACTGTTTACATAGACAGCTTTTGAGGGCGCTTTTCAGGCGCGCGTCCTCTGCGTCGCGTTTATAAAACGGCGCGTTCAAGTTAAAGGGGTAGTACTTGCAAAAAATGAGAGCTGTCATGCTCTCTCATGTGTGATTTCAACGTCGTATAAATAGCTTTTTGTCTTTAAGTTGAACAAAAAATGTTATCCAGAATGACAGCCTCACTTTCAGCTCGTCTTTTTTTCCAACAAAATGAAAGTGAATGAAGGCTGTCATACACGTCTCATTTCCCACAGAAATCACTAACTTAACATACAGGTTTGAAACACATTTCTGGACTATTCATTCATTTAAAAAGTACACAAACTTTTAAAATCTGCCTCGAGACTCGTCCTGCCTCTAAGTACGCCCCCTAAATTACTCCCTAGTAAGTCAGCTCACTTGTGTTTATGGCACATCCACTCTCTCTCTCTCTCTGAGGGGAATTCTAGCTCATGCCTCAGCACATGAGTCTCTTCTGCATTTGTTCGCGGTTTAAATTAAGAACTAGGTACGATTAGGTAACCTTACTTGACGTACAAGCTTATTAAACGCGTTCTCTTGTCAACTGTTTAAACCGTGGCTTGTGTAACGTTAACCCGTGCGTCGCTGTCTGTATTGTTTTGCTAATGCATGGATATGCATGTGTGTTCATTGCACGCAGTTTTCACCAGAACGCCACACGCTGGAGTTGTGTAATAATTGAAACGTGTTAGATCAAACTGACCTACAATATGGTGTTTACTGGACGCTGGTTTGGTTGATGCAATTTGTTGTTTACATCCTTCTCCTGTGTTAGGGGTGTTTCTCATTGCATTGCGCCACCCCTGAAAATACTGCAGCTTTAATGGCAGCTTGAAGTACGCAGCATTTATACATACTGTTTGTTTGTTGAACTTCATAGTATGGCTTCTACTAAAATATTTAGCTAGAAGGAAATATGCAGGAATATTACTTTTGTAATATTGCTCTGTAGTATTTTAAGTATAGTTACATCAGTAATGTGAAGTTGGATAATGATCATTTCCATTTCTGAAAAACTAGTTTGAAAACCTATTCTAGACCTTTGAGGTCTTTATTTTATTTTATTAAAGTTTCTTGTGCAAAAGTATAGTGAAATTCTCATTTTCTTTGGATGTACTGCGTTTATTAAATGTGGGCTTTAGTAAAATGTCACTAAAATGTTTTATCTATGAAGGGCTAAAACATTTTCAAACAACTGCATAAATAATACATTACAGGAAATTAACCAGAAAATAAATGAAAGACGCTTTGCAAATTATAATTTTGAGACCAGGCATGAACAAACTGTCTATACTGGATGTCGAATGGGATATTCTAGGTTGACTCATTTGTATTTACTGAATAACTAAGCATCACCTAAAAGTAAACCGAGGTCAAGTTGGTTTTGTATTCACATATTCATTGGACTTATGAGATGCTCCCCATGGTGTTTCCCATGATACTTTAAATATCTGGTCTGAAATCAGATGTAAATATGACCTCGAAACAATATTAACACCATTTAATTGACTGGGAGCATTGTTGTACTTTGATAGTCAATAGCTGCTAACATGTTTTGCCTATTTAGAAATTGCAAATACTTTTCTGAAATTATAATATTAAGGAGAAAGTCCGAAAGTGTGAATCTAAAACCAACATTACCACAATTAAATGTAATTACTGCCAGGCTGCTCTTACCATCAAACATATTTTGTTGGAATGTAGAAGTTTGAATACCAGTTGACAAAATTATTATAAGGTGAGTACTTTGGACATTTTTAAAAAGGTACCACCATGAAGAATCTTAAATTATTTATCAAAAATTGAACTGAAAAATCATATGTAACTTTGAATATATTTTTATCATGTAATATTTTTATGTATATCCATTTTGTCATGAGATGTGGCAATAAATAAACAAATAACATTTCCATATTTCAAACTAAAATTGTGATTTAGAGCTTTTGTTGTTGTAAAAAATTACATTAAGTCAGCATAACAAATTATTCACTTGCGTTTGCTGGGCTCTAGATTAACTGGTTGCACTAGTATGCCCAAAATCTTTTTTTAGGTGCACCAGAAAAGTTGCACCCAAATTTTTGAACGCATCACATTCAACACCACGGTTAAGAATGCCATCCATATAGGCAATATTGAATTGTAAATCATTAACTAACAATCTGGTCAACATCTCTGATTGGTTTAAACTAGGGATGCTCATACTGACAGTTTAACTCAGGGGTAGGGCTGTGCGACATGTGGAAAATATATAGTTGCAATTTTTTTAACGGAGATTGCGATTTAATTTGATATTTAATTTTGTAGTCAAGTTTCAGCTCAATATTCTGAATTGTAGCTTCTTACTACTGAAATACTGTGCGTGTTGGTTGAAAAAAAGGAACTGAAAAGATATTAAATTACTCCAACTTCTATTTTTTCATTTGTTTATAAATATTCAGAAATTCAACACAAATTTTACTCTAGAGCAAAAAGTAGTGAGTTATGGCGTTAGTTATGTCCTGCTGCCTTCGTGATGTGTTTTCATACGGGTTAACAGTTGCAAAGAACTTTGAAATTGCACTTTGCTGTTGCTAGCTACTAAATTGAGTGTCACTAGCAATACTTTTTGTAGACTTTTTAGCAAGACACTCCTCATATAGCAACCTGTGGTGCTTTTTTAGGTGCTGGTTGTTGTATTTCCTCATGCTGTGGTAACAATTCTGCGACAGCTCTTACAAATGACCTGTTTTTGTTCGGTGACTGACTTTGAAACCAAAATATTCCCATATTACAGACATGCTATTTTTATTATATTAGTTTGTCTTGTACTGCTTCTGAAGTGGCAGACGGCATCATCCCATTTGTCCGCGTTTTCTGGTTTGTTTGTTTTATTGTGGGCTTTCCGCCTATTTCAGTCGCGCAATTCTTATTGGGCAGAACAAAATTCAAAATTATTGGCGTGTGCTCACTCAATTGAATAGTAAGACTCGCACACAGAAGGCAGTCACACATTTGCTCTGGGTGGGTGAAATTATATAATACATTTACCTCACAGCCTCTTGCAACTAGCTAAATGCAACGTTTCAAATCGTGATTGCGATTTAATTTCAATTAATCGCACAGCCCAACTCCGTTGTCACCAAACTTTTTTAGCCTAAGATCCCTAACTTCTTGCTGAAACGCAAGATTTACTCACTTAAAAAAATGACAGAAAAAAAAGCAACATTTTTCATTTGCTTTTTCAGCTTATGGCCTGAAATGTAAAAAGTACTTGTTCAACATGCTTTACATTTTTCAATTAATGCAACCAAATATATCTGAGACAAAGTTTGGTAAAATGATTTTCAATGATCTTTTGCAGGTACTTTGGAAATCATTATTCCACAAAATATTTAATAATACAAATGAAAACAACAACTAAAATGATAATCTTTATTTTAATTAGGAAAACATCAGTTGTTCACAGAATGAAACAAAAATGTAATTATAAATCTAGAAAAACTGAAAACATTTAAGTGGCACCTTATTCATAGCTGTATATAATGGTAATAACCATAAGTAGGTGGAAGGCATACAACATTTAGATTTTATAGCTATATTATACAATTTTTACTTTTATAAGCTCAGAGAATAATTTTATTTGACTGAAAAAATACATTATTTACTGAATATAGCTCAAAATAAATCTGATAAATCACTAGTGAGTGTTCTTGTCTGATTAGTGTAGTTTATAATTTGCATGCAGTCTTGAATGTCATTTTACACAAACATGTGCACACAAACATTAACTAGTATACAGACATCTCAGGTCATTAATTTCATTATTCATTTGGTTTGCACTTAATTGCACACAAACCCTTTGTGATGTATGAAATGTATAAGAGGTTAAATAGGACACTTTGATTTTTGAAGACAATATTTGGATGATAATGTCAACTCTGGGGTGGAATCCCCTTAACACATTTTCATTGTGAAACTGAGCTAACTATATGTTCACACTTTCTGTGGGATTGTGTTTGCAACTGTACATCGTCTCTACTCCTCATACTTTCGCCGTTGCTGTCTCTGCACACAGTCTAAAACAATAGCTTGTGGTACCATGCACATTTTCCTCTACTCACTGTTAGCGTTCTCACATGTGTGTCATTTTGGTTTGCTGGTTGCTAAGATTACGCTGTCACTTTCTGTGCATGCTCAACAAACTACCTATCATCACATGCACTAAGCTGCTAGAGGCATAGTTCTCCAACCCTTAACAACCCACCTTTCTCTTTTAAATCCTTTTCTCTAGGGCCCTATTCATGAATTTGCTAAAACTGCCATTTAAATGAACCCCCCACTAAGCATAAAGTTCAGACTCTGAAAGCTAACCATAATATTTGTGACCACTTTCTTCTCAGGTTGTCTCTGATGAATGAGCAACAAGTTTCCCACCAACTTATCCGTACTTGCCATCCAAGGAGTTGAAGATTTGGCAGAGAAGAAAGCAAAAACAAAAGCAAATGGACATGTTTGAGCTACACCGCATTGAAACTGAAATTTCTGCACAAGATGTGCTGCAGTTTTGTATTTTAAAGTGTACCTGCATTGATACCATGTTAAGTAGGTTTGGATGACCATTAACTGTCACAAAACCGGTCGAGGGTTCTTTAAGGACGATACTCTAAGACTTTTTATTAAACCAGAGAACACCTTGGTGTGGTTTGGGGAATTGAACTCTTGTCTCCTCAGCTGCCCACTCCACCACTCCCCAGATCTAGATTCATGAAAGTCATGAGTTTGCAACCTCAACCGAAACCAAACGCAAAGAGAACAGGCAAACGTATCACTTTCTTTAACGATCAGGGTGTGGCAATGAAAGAAGCCTCTCAGCATACGGGGCCCTACTATGGCGTCGGGGTCCCACCTTCAGGGCCAGGCCATAATGACAGCGGAGGTGTGGAAAGCTTCAATCCAGAAGCATCACGCATGTACCATAATTCAGTTATTTTCAGTCCAGAGAAGGGTGATCAAAGCCGTGGGCATTATCAACAGACAATGCCCTTGAAGTGGACACATCAAGACCCATCTCTGCAGCCCCAACCAAGACCAAACAGTTGGTCACAGGGTACGACCGCTTGGCAACAGAACTTTGGTCCTTACCTGACACCTCAGGCTGCTTTTGCAAAACAAATGCACGAAGGTATATCAGTTCAACAACAGCAGCAGCAATCTGAGCCATCAGCTATTAGGACAACCGAAAAGCAGGCTAACATGACTGGAGAGACCTACAGGGATGCAACTAAACCTGTCCGGGGCATGGGGGAATGGGATCAGCAGCAAGCCTTTCAGCAGACACAAAAGCCTGGAATGTTAAATCCACAGCAGCACGGACAGTCCACCACTGGGAATTCTGTGCTGCAACCCTTTCAGTTAGCTTTTGGACAGCCCAAGCAGAACCTAGTAGCAGGTTACTATCAGGTAGTCCAGGGCAGTCGGACCTTACCAAATTTGAACTATAGTTCACAGACAAATTCTCAACATCAACTTCAGCAACTACAGCAACAGGAGCAACAAAAGTTAATGCTCCAACAGCGACAGCAACAGATAGAGCAGCAGATACGACAACAGCAGCAGCAGCAACAACAGGTACTTCAGCGTCAAAAACAGCAGCAACAAATACCACAGTCACTGGAGCAAGCACATCAATTAAAACAGACTCCACAACAGCATATGCAACAGATTCAGGCACAACTGGTGCAGCAGCAACAAAAATCGGAGCAATCTCATCAAAACCAACATGCATTGGGAGTTTACTCTGATGGCCAGCAGCCACATGCTCCTTTGCTTAATCAGCATCACCCCTCGTTATCAGGACAATCCCAGGAGACTACAGATCCTTCATCAACCCAGGCACAGGAATCGGTTCCCCAGCCTCCTGCAGCTGTTTCACAGCAAGCCATCGAAACCCAACAGCCTGGACCACGGAGATCCCGTCGGCTTTCAAAAGAGGGTGGAGGACCTGCCTCAGACAACCCATTTGTTATACCGTCTGATCTTCATGCTCAGGGTTCTCAGAACGGGGCTTCTGAGACCTCTATGGTGCAAGACATTCGGGCCGCTCCAACTGGTGTAATCCAGAGCACTCGGCGGAAGAGGAGAGTGTCACAAGAGGCCAACCTAGAAACCCTGGCTCAGAAGGCTTCAGAAAGAGAATCTCTTCCCTCACGTAATGTCAAGGTAACTGACGTTTCTTATTATAGAAACAAGCATTGACGTTATTTCCTGTTCGTTCATTGCTTTATAGTGAGAATGAAAAGTTGGTGTCTGTCGTAAGACAATGATTACCATTAGGCAAGTGAAGTTGACATGATGATAAAGTAGCACAGCAAGGATGCACTACTTCTTTTAAATATCTACAGGTTTTGCAGGTTTCTCAGTTAATGGGGAGTGTAAAGTTAGAAGAAGACAGACAGGCACTGACTGTCACCACTACGTCACATGATATCTTGAGCCAAACAAAGGTTTTTCCACACATCTGCAAACACTATCTCCTTACTGATTTCTCATACAAATACCAGCAAGTGCACCCCACCCTCAGTTCACAGATTCTCTTGAGGGCACATGAACACTGGTGCACATTTCCTTTTGTTGAACTCCACAATCATAGCTTAACTTATTTTAAGTAGTGTTATCACTTGTTTTGGAATGGAAGATTAGATTGAGATTTTATCTTTTTGTGGTAGATCTTGAATCCGTGGGCAAGTCTTAATGACTTGGTTTGTTCATTTATTTTTTTTCATTGCACAAGGAAAATTAGCACAATTAGCAATCTAGTTTGATGCAGTGTCTGTAGGCCATTCCGTGTAATGTATTCTGCTTTTCTTCTTGTTGCGTAAACTTCCTATAAAAAGGACAGCAGCACTCCCTTAAGACTTCCAACCGATGATAACAATGAAAGGGTGTGTATATATACTGTGATCTATAGGCTAGATAGTGTAGAGAACACACAGCATAGTTCAGTAAGGTGAATACAGTTCTAGCTTATTGAAAATAGAGGATACATAAGACATTAAGGTTTTTTTTTTTTGGTCGTCTGTTGATGATTGGTGTCAGTTCATGCCTGTAAAAATACCCTACGCCAAACACAGGCTGACAAACAGCCATAGCTCAAGGGTGAGTGAGCTGCAAGGGCTTGATGTACTAAGTTGAATACCTCAGTGGTGCCAGCAAGGCCGGAGTTCAGATAAGACAGGCCACATCCTCAGGGATTTCTAGACTTTCATGCAGCTTCCAGTTAGACGCACTGTAGTAATGACGTAGATTTGATTGCGTTTTTTCCACAACATATCAATAACGTTTTAAACATGTCAGCCCTTTTCTTTGCTCTAATCTTTAGCAATAAGGAGTGTAAAAAGGAATTGCTCTCACAATAAGGGAAATGAGGGTTTAGTGCTTTTCCCTGAACACTGTTATTATGACTAGAACTTTGTGTTAAAAAGGTGGTTTTGAAATGTACAGCCATTGTGAAATCACTAAGACTGACACTTTTGTATGGTCTTTGTAAGTTCCTGTTTTGTGGAGAAGTATGGATGCAGTTCAGTAAATCTAACATAATAGGAACCCCTTCTCCAATCATTAACATACCCACTGCAGAGTCTGGTTATATAGAAACAGCTCTTGTCCAGTGGGGGAATATCATTATGTGAAATGGATCTATATATCCACATGCAGCCTGTCTCTCGTCTGCAGGGCAAGTTGTCTCATCTTGTAGCAGAAATGAGGTCACAGTTAATTCATTAAGTTGTTTTTGAAAATAGCCCTGAACTAACCTCATTTCCTGTGATAATATATGTTATCAGCTTTTATTTTAATTCTGATTTCTCATGTATATCCTTTGTACATACTGAGGAGGGATGCCCTCTGCTGAGATTCAGGTCTTTTAACCATTAATTTAACTCATCATGTTGTGTTGCCAGCAAGAGCCACACAGGCCTTGGAGTCCGCCTGTTGTCCCGACAGGTCCTGGTCGAGGGGCAGCTGAGGTGGATCAGGTGAGTGCCAAGCGGCCCAGAGACGACAGCCTCATGCCATTGGTCATTCCAGTCTCTGTACCAGTGAGGCAGACTGACTCCTCATCCCCGGATCATGAGCAGGCTTCCCTCTCCGTTAGCTGGCCTTTGCGGCCTTCTGACATGAGCTGCTCCAATTACCAGCCCTCTGTGATTGTTACACGACGGCGCTCGCTGAGGAACTCCCCATCTGAGAGCACGGGCCAGGTGAGTTTACTGACTGATCTCACATCAAAACATCTACCTTTCTATTCTCATGCTATCTTTCTCTTTTTGCCAACTTATCTTCTCCATCCCCCAGCGTTAAGCCATGGATTAAAATTCCCCAATAATCCGCAAATTTCTAACGACCCCCCCATCCCCCCTTCACCCTCTGTTCGTTCACTGTACCCTAATCCCACCCTCCCCCAAACCATTTTTCAGATATTACAAGACTCAACAAGATCATTTAGATTGCATGTGGTCTGTGACTTAAAGAACGGTTTACGCAGAGATGCACAGTATATCGTTTTCCTTGTTATTTTTGTTATCGGTAATGTTAAATTAATGATAAATGTTGGTCATTGTGGTTTTGATGGGTCTCGTGGAGTAGATGCACACGTTTTTACTAAATGAAAGAAAAGAGAATTTTGCAAAAAGAAAAATCTTTGCTGTTTTGTTGCTTTTCTACAGTTAAAGAGTAAACATTATCAGCTAGTTTTATCTTTACACTCCAATGCTCAAGAGTAAGATCGCTTGTATGTTTAACTGAGTCATGTAAATTGGCTTTTATGACATGATGTTAATGAAAACGCATTATGAACACCAGTGTTGGGCAAGCTACTTGAGGAATGTAGTGAGCAAAGCTATTAGCTACTCTAATTAAAATGTAGCTTAACTACACTAAAAGCTACCCTCTGGGAAATGAGCAGGCTAAGCTAAAAGCTACTTAGCAAAAGTAGTTTAGCTACATCTAAGCTATTTTTGCAATTTCATTTTTGAATCGAAGCAACTTAATCCAAATCAATCTTATCTTAGTTATCAATAGACCTTTTTCTTGGAACGCAAAATTACCCATTATGCGTTGCGTGTATGCGCAAGGAGAATGCTAAAAACTTCCGGTCGGCAGCTGATGTGTGTATACAGTTACATTTGGACAGCTTTGAAACGATAGTTTTAGTCTATTTTACCTGCTTTTATCCTCTTTGAACTAACACTGTTGTCCATCAGCACCATCTCCTGGACTGATCATTTAAAGAAATGCGATCTAATAGGATAGAAAACAGCTGCTGTGAGGCGTTTTCCCCTCGTTGTCAGACGGCATCATCTGCAGTTTAAATGAAGCCTTGTCATCGCTAAAGTCAACATTTTCTCTTTATTTCAAATATATAACCAGCCCAAACAAATGTAATTCACCAAAATGTTTAACACACACATAGCCTGTACTGTGCCACTGACACACTGATTTAATAATTGTGACAAAGTGAAAATATAGGCTAGTGTCGTTTCGAAATGACAGAAAAACACAAACCGTGGTGAATACAACACAAAATAAAACGCAAACGGCTCGCGATTAGAATGAACAGCAAATCAGCCAGCAGAGTATCAATAACAGACTTTTATTGGTCATTTTTGTAAATTGCATGACTTTCATACCTGTTAACTTTCATGCGAGTACTCTGGTTTGCTCTCTCTCTCTCTCTCTCTCTCTCTTTCTTTCTATCTCTTTCGCTCTCTCTCTCTCTCTCTCTCTCTCTCTCTCTCTCTCTCTCTCTCTCTCTCTCTCTCTCTCTGTGTGTGCGTGTTTCTGACGGCAAACACATGAACTAGGAGAACGTTTTTCTCGTATTTCTGATGCGCTTGAACCACATGTGACAAATTATTACAGCTTTAACAGACAAATTTCTAAGTTGTGTGTCACAAAAACACTCTGTTATCCATTAAAAACGTAATTGAAACCCATTTTCGGAGCGCAAATTACCAGTTGTACACGCTGTAAACGGAAGTTTTTAGCATTCTACCGGAAGACGCTGGTCGCTTTAGCGCCCTCCATGCAGCAGCCGTGTTCAGTTAAATTATTTACTGTAAATAATATGCTGTACCAAACAGAAACAAATGATAGTATATAACAGCAAAAACAAAATATACAATAAAACCAGGTGTTACACATTTAAAATACTATAGTAATGTATAGTAAAGGGAAATATTTAGGAATAGCATTATATTGTATATATATTTACAACTTTTCATTAATGAATTACACTACATAATGTAGTATCATAAACTTGCTGGACTTGGTGTAAATTACTAAAGTAATTTTTGAGCACAGCATTGGAATTAACGTTCCTGCGTCTTAACATGTACTTCTCCAGGTATGGTCAGGAGGAATCCTGCTTCAGAAATAGCTTCTCTCCCTCAGTCATCGTTCCATCAAGCAAATTTCTAATGTTAGCGATGTTACCAACCAGGATAATTTTTTTGTCGACCACAGAGAAATCAAAAAAAAAGAAATTGTCATTCTCGCCAGCATCTGGATTTATTTTCATTGGCTAGACACCGTCCTCACAGCTCTGTGAATGTCAGTGCCATCACTTATTGATCCATGATCAGGAGTTTTAGCTTGTGTGGACGCTACTGCGCAAATTGACTAGCTTCACTACCGAAAAGCTATTTGATTTATAAAGTAGCGACGCGTCTGCCACACTACTGACAAATGTAGTTAAGCTAGCTGCTGCAAGGCACTGATAAACACTATCACTGTTTTTTGCTTAGACCACATTTGACATTGTCAGAATCGATGCAGAATCAAATTTGCAAATGATTTTTCACCACAGGTCTAGCCTTCAAATATAAAGAGTTATCACTTATTGGTATCAGCCAAAATGTCCATATCTTTAGCTTGCGATCTATGCAGTTTTCTAACATCTAATTTCTTCTGCAGAATGGCGGAGCAGAGAGCGGGAGTGAAGCTGACAGCAAATCAGCCAAAGCCAAACGACGTCCTCGTCCAGAACCGCTCTTTATCCCCCCACCCAAACTTGGCACTTTCATCGCCCCACCGGCCTACTCCAGCATCACACCCTTCCAGAGTCACCTACGATCTCCTGTCCGATTGGTGGACAACCCCCTCAACATGCCGCCTTACACTCCTCCGCCCATCCTCAGCCCGGTTCGAGAGGGTTCGGGTCTTTACTTCTCCACGTTCTTGTCGGCTGCGGCTGCTGCAGCTGCTGCTGCTAATAATCAGGTGCTGCCCCCGCCTGCCACTCCCAAATCAGCCACCCGCAGCCTTCTGCGCTCAAGTGAGTTCCCTTGACTTTATCTCTAATAAAGCTCATTAAATATCACTTTGATTAGAGTAATCAGCATTTACAACTAAATGAACTGAAATTCGCGATGAAATGCAACCTAAATAAACAGGCAGTCTAGATGCAGATCATATAGCCAGCTATATAGTCTTAACTGTAATACAAGCTTACAAGGGACTGAAGAGCTTTCTAAATAGTCACTCATTTATCTCAGACAAATAGAGATTCCCAAGAAAATGGTTTGAATATCCTGGTAGAGGGTCACAGACTGTGATCACAGCTATTTATTTACTTGCATTCAAAACCTAGATTACTAGAATACTAGATTTTTGTATGGTACATGTGATATGATTTGATATGATGTAACATTTGTAACACTAGTTATGTATCATAATTCTAGTGATGCAGTGTGATTGTGTTATATAACAGATTTTTAAAATTATTTTCCCAATATTGTTGCAAAAAAAGTAGCAATATTGTATTTATTGTAGTTTCTGTTTACAGATATAGAGGTATACATAATTATAACAACTTTCCCTTTTTAAGGAAAGGCCAGATATGAGAAAAATGTCAATTTGGTATCTAATTTTCATGGTAGCTTATGTTGCTAAGCTAAAGATTATTGTCTAAGAGTTCCCCAAAGATCCATTATAACAAATATTGAGTATAATAATGGGTACAAAAATATTGGTTATAATTTTCTTTTAATCCAAATTTAAATATATAGATTTTCAAAATTGTTGTCTATAAAATAAGGTACCCCAAAATTTGTGCGCTTTAAATGAACTCTGTCACAGCTTTAAAATCCTGTATAAATAGGCTCCTCAGTAGACTTGGTACAACTAAGATGGTTTATATTTTCCAGCAAGCCAGGTTATATGTAATTAGTCATAATCATGCTGCATATCTTGTATGGGAGGACATATATATACTGTAATAAGAAACACTGTTTACTTTGAGTCTAAGTACAGTCCTTTTGTTTGTATTCGTTCAGACAGCAGCGATATTACCCCTCCAGTTCTCTCAGCTATAAGTGAAGCTACACCTGTCAGCATTGAGCCGTAAGTACACAAGCTCTTCAAATAACACCCCCACGCACATTACGCTTCACAAGTTGCTTTAATTAGTTTACGCTTCTTGCCAAATGATAACTTTCTTTATGTGATTAACCTTCACTTTTATAATTCTACTACATTCATAGTAGATCCAATTCATTATGTTGACTGAATGTAAGTGACTGGAATGGCTGACAGTAAATGTAGTCTCTCAGACTGTTTTCTATACAGAGCTGCAACTTTACCCAGCATAAATGTTTTCTGTGTGTGAAAGCGCAACACAAGCCTGCTGTTGCATCCAGGCGGACTCTTCTCTTACACTCTGCTAATGCATGTAGTGTTATGTTGGCCTTACTTTATTGTAAATGGTAAACCACACTCTGCAGATGCTAAATTCATACTCATTTTGGTATGCTAGCACTGATGAAATGGTATTTCATGTGTAAGTTAGTGAGTGTGTTAAAGGCAAAGGACATCTCAATGGGTTTCTTGGATGGTGCATGGGAAATTTCAGCTCTTTTTAAGGACAGAATAGGTGGGGGGATGGTGGTAGAGCAGAGGGAATTATGGGATGTCATCTCTGGCTGGTACCAGCTGGTTTATCTAATGGTCAGAACAGTGTTCGGTTGAAATTCTTCTTTTTCCCTCTTTTCTGCACACACACACACGCTGTGAATCTCTGTGAATGGCTGCAGTTTTGGAGTTGGCCAGTACACCATGAAAGCACATCCTGGAACAAAATAATAAAACACAATCTGTGTTGCCTTATCCCCAGACCTTGGCAGTCAGATACTGGAACATTTGGCTTGAAAAACATGGAGTGTTAATTTTATGCAAATACCCATGGACAGAGTCTACTCTCAATGCTTGAGTTCTCAACAACAACAACAACAAAAAAAGAGCTGACAATGAGATGAGCAATAAATAAATTCATACAGCAGTCTGAGACTACTTTGGCCCTGTTTACACCTGTTATTGAGATGCATTTTCATCAATCTAGTCACAAGTGGAAGACACGACATAAAGGTGCAGAGAGTAAACCGAGTGTAGTCAATAGCTGTGATTTTTGCTTTTGTGGTGTAAACATGATTCTATTGGCTGTTTTATCACAATAAAAGAAAACTTTTGCCTTCGAAAACCTGGATTTCATTAGAAAGTGGAAAAAAATGTGAAAGGCTGTTCTTTGCTCTAGCAGTACGAAATTTTAGGGTGTTCTTACATTAGGTAAAGTTGCCTGAACCATGCCGAAGAGCGATTTACCCCCCCCCCCCCCCCCCCCCCCACCACCATCGGTCTGCACTCATATCGCATTTTTACCTATCGAACCTGAGCACCTATTGGACCTCATTGATGATGCATGATGCCCTGTTCAGTTTAACAGGAAGAGAGTGCAGCGCTCTCATTCAGCACAGCGGAGATTGCTTTAGTTAATATTGTTTTGTATTATTTTTAGTCGTTTGGGATGCAGTGACACACAGTCAAATATTTTCCACTTTTGACTCATAAATTATCATTAAAGTCATTATGCTGCACGTATTAGGCGGTTCGCTGAAGGTGCAGCTGACATGCAGTGAGGGGTTTGCGTCTTTAATAAACTACGACAGTTTGCGTTCATTGAAAAGTAAGAATAATTAATAAATCGATATGATTTTATCCTAAAAGTGGCGTCACATCTTCAGTTTCGGGCTTATGCGCGCTTTGCACTTGCACTACAAGCATACCACCCAAGTGAACTGCTCTCTGGCACACCTCTTCTAAACGGGCCAGGGCCGGCCAACTGAACCGCGCCTGAGCCCGATTCAGAGCACTCACGCTTCTCAAATGAACCAGGAAAGGCACCTGCGCACGATTTTGATAGCATAATGCGAGTTCTCCCGTAAACACACAGTATTTATATTAGTGTTTTGGTAAAGCTGCTGTCTATATAATTTTTTTCAATCACTAAAATGCTGCATGAATGGTCATTTCGTGTTATTTTTTTTGCATAGATGTAATGGTCTAATTCGTAAAGCCGCCCAAAATAATTACTTTAGATTGTCTAAAACTGACACAACCAGAGTTGGCCCATTCTAACCTTTGATTTGGCCCACCATTCAATTTAAGAAGAGTGGGAGAACGATGGACTGGTGGTTGGAGCAAATATCTTTGACAAATATCGTTATTTTGAATATAATGTATCCTTTTTTATTGCTAATTTATTCAGTTATTTAAATTCATCACATTTAAAAAAAATCTATATACTGTCACTCGACGGATATCAGGCAATGCACAAGACATCGGCGAGCCAATCGAGGCAAAAGCAGGTTCAGCTTAGTGTATTCAGCATTGAACTCCATTGTATTAATGGGATTGTCTCTGTTTTTGCTGTAATAAATTAATTAAATATATATTTTTAAATATACTGCATTCATTAATATATTTTAAAGCAATGTTTTCTATTTATTTTTAAATATTAGGAAATTAATTAGCAGATTAATCATAAAATTCTAATGTACCTTTGACCCACAGCCCTTAGTCAAGTTTGGTTTTTGGTTGATCATAAGAAAAAGTTTGTGCACACCTAGTCTAAAGTATTTTTTAAACTCTCTCTTTTTAAATCTAGACAAGGTTTAAACCTGTTGAAATGCTTTGCTAGGAACTCATTGGCAATAAAGAACATTAAAAAAATAAAACTATATATATATATATATATATATATATATATATTTTTTTTTTTTTACTGGCATTAATCTGTTATTAAAATATAAATTCATTTTTATTTAATTTGTTTTCACAAATATACTGTAAAAATATTCATAAATTAACTGTTTTCTGTATTTTCTAATTTTATGTTTTAATTTTTAAAACATTTTTTAAAATCTTTTGATACACATTATAAGACCTTGATCTTTCTTTTGACATACTTTGACCTTAAAAATTAGGCATGCACTGATCCCGATACTTGATTGTATATTGGTTCTATACCGCATTATTATTATTATTATTTTGCTGGATTCGGTATCGGCCAGCTGGTACTGATCCAAATCTCATCTTGCCTGTGCGCTATATTCTGAGTAATTTATAAGCCAACAGAAGCCATGAAGCCTATTATAAGGCACTAGAAAGTTGTCTTGTAGACCTACTACATCTTGAATGTTCTGAAGCCATTTTATAGTTTAATGTGAAGTACAGATGAATATTCAAGTGTTTAAAGTCATGTTCACTTCAGCGCTTCCTGCGCCTGTCAATCATTCTCCATTCATTCACAATTCAAACTGCGTGTCGCGTTCATGACAACTCGAAAATTTGTTTCTGTTAGTTTAAATAATTAGCAGAGAAATGCATTTAGTTTCTTAATTATGTTGCGCTGTGTCTGTTAGATCAGCAGATCGCATTCGCAGCACTGGAGTAGAGAGGATTAATACCTGCTCTTCACATACAAAGTAGGCCCACCTGAAATTTTAAACGAGAAAAGGCTCAATAATACATTGGACCGATCCTCAACGCACTGATTTCTTCCATTTGTGCTGTTACGTTTTGAAAGTGTCCGCAGATACCGGAGGGCTCCGCGCTGTGACTTAGTAATGCATCAAGCGCTTCATTTACGCCCTGACTGCGCAGATGCGTTCTGTTCTTTCAACCTTCTGACCAAGTTTATTCTTCTGAGGGGAATAGTTTCAGTGCTGTGAATAGTTTGTAAACAGCCTGGCTCATTGTGGTCAAAGTAGGTGATTATATTAATAAAAGGGAAACTGACGCGCACAATATGGATTGTCATTAACAGAATATTATTCAGCCTAATATAGACTGCTCTGAAACTGTGAATATTTCACTGTCATTTTATTTATATTAATATTTTATTTAGCAACCCAGTTTGTGTTTTGATTAGTGTCAATAGTGGTAGCCTATTTCAGATTTCAAAGAAAACTTGTAATATTAAAAAGAAAACTTAAGTAAGTTGGACCAAAACAGTTCAGTGTCATAAAGAATGCTCAAATAACGTAGCCTAGTTTACAGCAAGTGTCATGTTTTTACTTAGCCGTCTGTCATATACAGTAGGCCTATAGGTCTGTTATTTTTACCAAAGATGATATATTATTTGAGTTTATGTAACTATAGAAACTACATTATGCTTAAAAAAAACAAACAAACAAAAAAAAAAAAAAAACAGCACAGTATAAGGATCAGATCTGTATCAGTCGATACTCAGCATTTTGGTATCGGGATTGGATCGGTTCCAAAAAAATGGTTACAGTGCATCCCTAAAAAATGACTTTTATGAATATTTTTAATATTTTAAAGGAATATATTGTATTTTATTCTGCAACAAGCTGTAAGAAGCTGCCAGTACATTTTTTGTTATTTTACAGACTTATTTCTCTACATATTATTTCTCATGCATTATATTATTTCAAACTACTAAAATGTCAATAATAGTCACTTTGTAGAGTTGAATTTTCAACATCAAAAGTAGACAGAGCAGAGATCAAGGTCCCATTATAAAATTCACAAAGATAAATAGACGGTAATGTAATTTATTGTTAGTGTTATTGTCATCATTATTCATATTTTAGAATTATTAAATATTGATTTTGGCATTGCACAAAATTATCATCATCACAGCATTAGTTAGATAGTTGTTTCTGGTTTTTGTTAGTCCTAATTGATGTTGTTTTCAAGTACAATAAATCGCTTAATATACAATTTGCAGTGGTGCTCATTCATTTTTGGTTGGTGCTCCTAAATTTTTTTTGGGTGCTTTTAAATATTTAAAGTTAGAAGCACCGGTTCTACCAAGTAACAAAATTCACTTTGAGTCCTGACACAGAATCTGCCGGCACAGTTCAGCACAATTGATTACAGACGGTTTGTAATCGCCCAGCACTGTTCCAGGCTCTGTGGAGAAACAACCATGACCGTACCGAACTGTTGAAGTTCGAAGAGCGGCTTTTGACATTGATGACATGTATGACATTGATTAAAAACTATAAATAAAAAAGGCCCATTGGGACATCTTGATTAATCCCTTTGCCCTACTTAAATGTATATGTTATCTGCAATATGTTATTCCATTTGAAAAGATGCTATATTTACGCCACTACAGTATAAATTTTTTTTTGAAGGTATTAAAAAAGGTAGTAAAAGGTATTAAATTCAACTTAAGCCATTCTGTATGTTCCCTGTTTTATTTTGCAGTATATTAACTATAACATTACAGCCTATATACAACCTAATACCAGGTGTAAACAAACCCTCAGATCGCCTTTGAAAGGCTTTGATTCAGTTTGTCGCTAGTGACCCAGATACATTTAGAAACAGCCCAAACTACCTGTTGGAATGCAATTATTATTATTTTTTTTTTATTTTTTTTGTGGAATTTTTCATTAAAAAGGCATTTTTCAGTGGCAGCACCAAGTCATGCCTTCTGTTTAGCTTTCAAGCTCTGCCTACAAAGACATTTGGAGATGAATTATCTTTCTTTGTTTTTACTAACAATCATCAGCCATCATGATAATTGTTCAGTATATAAAAAAAATCAGTGGTCTCATGCATTTAAAGCCCACTGTTTTAAAAAATATAAAGCATCTAGATTGGATTGCTGCAGCAGCCTGTTTATACTCGCTCTCTCTTTTTCAGTCGGATAAACATTGGAGTGCGGTATCAAGCGGAGGTCCCCGAGCTGAGAGAGCGATCGGCAGCGCTGCACGACCTACACAAGGCTGAACTGGTGTGGGCGCCACTGCCTGACCTAGAGGCCAGTGCTCAGCAACAGCAAAAAGGTTTACTACTTACACAATACCATGCTAATTCTCACATTTAATTCATGCCAATGAATGAAAAGAATCTGCTGGAAAATGTTTTGCTGGTTACACTTTAGAATAATGGCCCATACTAACATTACCGAAGTATCAATAATTTTGTAAAGTATTTATTAATCATAGTTAATCATTATTAAAGTACAAAGTTGTGCTTGTTAACATTAGCTAATGCAGTGTGATTTGATATGAACTAACATTCTTTTACATTAAAGGTGCAGTAGGTGAAAATAGTAACGGGTTAGCATTTTATCTTTGGACGGCAGGGGAGGGACTGTGTTTCAAAGCCATGCCTCCTGAAATCGCGAATGCCTGCACTGTGACATGACAGCAGACGACCCACCAAAAGTTCATGTCATTCGCCAGTTAGAAATGTAGTCAGTGGTTGGCTGGTGGTGTGCAGGAATTGCATTTATTAATAAGCCACACTTCCATGCTTTTTCAGAACCAATATTCAGAGTAGCATGGTAAACAGTATAGGGAGGCTGTCATTGTTCAAAAATGACCCAGTGTGAATATAAAAGCAACTTCAGCTCAGTAAAGCAGACTAGGCAGAATAGCGCTATTTACCGATGTTTTGTTGTTAAACTAAATAAAAATCTACACTATCAATGCTGTAAAATAACCTTATGAAACTAAAAAAAAGTCACATTAATCTGGAAGTTACTTTGATTTCAGTGGCTGAACAACACCTCCATGCATATGCATATAACCCATTCAAAACACAACACAATCTTCATCAGCTTTGGGGGACTGAAAGAGTTATAACACAGAACAATACCTGTCTAACAGAAATACTTCAGCCATAGTGTTGTCCTTCCTCCAGCACGCAAAAGTAACTCCAATATTGATTTAGGATTTTAAAAAGTTTCAATTCGGCATTTGATTTTACTGTTATTGTCTCATCTGCACGTGAACATGGCGTGCATGTGCTAATGGCAACCATGAGTGAACAGAGATGCACAGAAGCCCAAATCTACGTTTGCTGACAGGCAGTTTGGGCTACTTATCAGAATTATGGGAGATGTCGACCCGACAATCTTTAATTAACATTTTTTAGTTCTATCCCTTACTCAGAATATAAACATACATATAAATATATTTAGATCATTTACATTAATCAGTACTATTGGACTGTGAAGAGACTTTCAACCAGTTTAACAAAAAATGTTTCTGAAGACAATTACCTACTGCACCTTTAAGTAGCATTAACAATGTTAAATAATGTTAACATGAATAAATGCATTACTAATCATTTGTTCATATTAGTAAATATATTAAAGTAAGGGACCATTGTTTTAAAGTGTTACCATTTTGCCAATTTTAATACGTTCTTTAATATGAGATGGGTGTCGCACATACAGGCGTTTTAATCTTGCCGGACGGTGATTCGAAAAATATTGTGAAATAATAAATAAAAATTATTTAAAAAAATTAATTAAGTTTATTTACTAAAGTATTTCATCCTAAAATGAACGGACATCTTGGGATGGAAAAAAAGTAGAGGTGTGTAAAATGATATTTTCTGTTATTATAATGTCTGCTAAATTATTAAAATTGTTGCTTTTTTTGTAAGCAAGCATTTACTGTGTGATGAAGTCTGTTAAAATGCCTATAAATTAGGATTTGGCATCAAAAATGCATGGTATGGGTTTTTGTTTAAATATTTGTGTGAAAAAAAGCATTAATCACAAATGAAAGCGTTTTTTATACAGTAGATTAACAGAAAAAGAAATTGGTTTTAGCAGACTTGCATTTTAAACGCATATTTCTCATTTAAAATGTTTTTTTTTCTCCCAGAGTAAGAAATTCATACACACAGAGCATGTTTTCCTTTACAATTTGCCATTTTTTTGGGGCAACGAGAATAGGTCAACTATAGTTGTTTTATTATTATTCAGTTATTATTTTTTTCTTCATTTTTAAAATGTAAGAGGAAGGGTTGACAAATAGTGTCACATTTTTCAGTATTACCGCAAACTGTATACCTAGTGTTTTCTATTTGAATAGACTGCATTAGATAGAGAATAGAAAACTTTTTTTTTTTAACAATTTCTAGCCGCTGCGTCTCACATTATTAGAAGCAAAGACATGTTTGATGTGAATTGAGTCCTAGCACTGCAGTGTTTCTTTTGCCAATTTATTTTTTAACAAATCATTTAAATCAACTATTCAGCGACCTATTCGTAATGATTGTCATTTGTTTACCTTCTGAATGAATCGTTATTGATTGAATTGAGTCAATGAATCACTCATTAAGACATGGGCTTATTTAAAACAGGTGTAATCCTGGTTTTGATAAAGAAATTAAATGTTGTCGAAATATTATTAGAAAAACATTTAAATACTCAACCTGAAATGAGCTAGTATCTTCTTTAATGAAACTACCTTTCCAATTTTTTTGTGAATTATATTGTGCCTAGTAGGAAAGTCCCGATCAGTTTTTTTTTTTGCCTCTGAATCATTTAAGTATCTACCGATAATAAAACCTGATCCGTTACTTCTGTAATACATAAAAAAACAATAAAGAAGAGCGCAGAAACAGATCCAGGATGTTCCTTATTTTGTATTTAATCCACCTTAATTTAACATTCAACAACTCTGTTAACAAACAGAGCACTTCTGTAAAGTAGCTTGAACCATTAAGTAATAAAAAACATAAATTCTTCACTTTCAGACTTAAGTGAAACAGTATATATATATATATATATATATATATATATATATATATATATATATATATATATATATATATATAACAAATCTAATATAAAAACAAATAGCATCTCAACTTAACCCGGCAGGCAATCCCAAGTTTACATCTCACAGTTTGCTATGGCAATGTTGTCATCATCAACTTTATAACACCTCCAGAGCACAGACAGACTCACGTTTTCCGCTTCAAGCTGCTTCCATGTTCTACTTTGGAAGCGTTTAACCAATAGCCTCTCTGCAACAAAGTGATGTCATGCCGCACGCATTGCTCTTTCTGTGTGAAGTCACGAAAGAGATCTAACTCTGTGCCACCGCATAACTATAGATGTGTTCAAAAATGTATTCGAGTACTGATTGGGAGGTAACAGCCAATTCAGATCGAATCTAAAATCGCGTGATCTGGCCTGATTTCTGATCACGTGATCGGATCTGGACAGTATTGGTACCAGTGTAATTGTGAGCAAATTAACGTCTAACAAATTTGGTCCCCACAGTGGTACATTTTTACTAATTCCCCCGTAACCTAATTTGAGTCTGACACCTGTGCTGTAGACTGATTCAGTGTTTTCATTGCAGTGAATGACCTCATGCACCTGGCCTGTTCAAGTGCGTTATTCGGAGGAGGGACCAATCAGGAGCTGGCCATGCACTGCCTGTATGAGTGCAAGGGTGACATCATGGTGAGTGTCATATGATGCATATTGGCTTAGTCTAAGTGCACTTCCTGCTGCATTGTGTACCAAACCTGTTCCTAAAGTCCCTAAACAGCTGGTTATATTCAGGGCAGTGGATGAAGGGTTTGTCGAATGAGTGGAAGATATGTGAAAGGACAGTTTGCTTTTGAGTTGTTTGAGGTGACGTCTGTGACTGGAAATATCGGTTTAGGGAGTGTGCGCATATTTGGCTCAATAAAAATGGATTTTTTTTGGAATTGTGACTTGCAGAACCTGAAAAGACAAAGTGTTTGTGTGACTCGTAATGGAAGTTTGAGTGCTTTAAATGACATTGTTTGCACTCACTCAGTAGCATTTTACTTAAGGCATAGATGCACATGATAGAAATATTCATTTAAAGTTTGTTGAGGTTTAGACCAGATTCTCAATTCCTTTTTAACAAATTAGTCAGTGTTACTTAAAATGATGACAAAATAAAAGTAATAATCCCGTTTCATTTATTGAATCAGTGTAATAGTATTAAAAAAGCATCCCAGGAAATTAAATTGTTTATCAAGGTTCAGTTTATATACTGATACTAGTTCCAGCATTTATGAAAGTCAATAATAAAAACTTTAAAAAGAAGTCTGAAGTCTGCATGTTTTGCATCATCCTCCATCGTTTAATTTACTAAACACTTGAAAAAAGGAAATCAACTACACAAATACTTTATTTAATAATAATAATAGTAATCTAAGCTTTATTTGTAAAGATTTTTTCCATGTTTAACTTTTTAAAAGGTTTTATACACTTATTTTATATTTGTTAAAGTCTTAATGAAGTAAGTGAAATAAATGTTGTTATTAAATTATTTTGCACAGGTTTTTAGATTACTAAAATAATTTATTTTCTTGAGTCCAATCTACATGGTATGCTATATTAAAAAAAATAGTTATGCTAAATGAAAACTTTTACAAAGTTAACTAAATTAAATATAAAATAGGGCAACAAGGTTGGTCAGTGGTTTGCACTGTCGCCTCACAGCAAGAAGGTCACTGGTTCGAAACTTGGCTGGACCAGTTGGCATTTCTGTGTGGCGTTTGTATGTTCTCCCCTTGGTGGCGTTGGTATCCTCTGGGTGTTTCGATTTCCCCCACTGTCTAAAGACATGCACTATAGGTGAATTGGGTAAGCTAAATTGGCTGTAGTGTATGTGTGTGAATGTGGGAGTGTATGGGTGTTTTTCTGTACTGGGTTGCAGCTGGAAGTGCATCCGCTGTGTAAAACAAATGCTGAATAAGTTGGCAGTTCATTCCACTGTGGCGATCTCTGATGAATAAAGTGACTAAGCCGAAGGAAAATAAAAGAATAAATAAAAATATAAAATATTTAATCAGTTGAACAAATGTTGATACTTTTAAAAGGACGTTTAATACAGATTTCTACCTGACAAAGGTCTTGTCGCAACAAATAATAACTTGACTTCTAGTTGATCATTTAGAAAAGTGGCAGAAGGTAGATTTTTCTGATGAATCATCTGTTGTACTGCATCCCAATCATCACAAATACTGCAGAAGACCTATTGGAACCTGCTTAAACCCAAGATTCTAAGAGAAATCAGTCATGTTTGGTGAAGGAAATTCATGGTTTGGGGTTACATTCAGTAGGGGGTCGAGCGAGAGATCTTCAGTGGATGACATCATCAACAGCCTGAGGTATTAAGGCATATGTGCTGCCCATTACATTATTAAAAACAGGAGAGGGCAAATTCTTCAGCAGGATAGCACTCCTCATAATTTAACCTCCACATTAAAGTTCATGAAAGGTCAAGGTGCTCCAGGATTGGCCAGCCCAGTCACCAGACATGAACATTATTGAGCATGTCTGGGGTAGGATGAAGGAGGAGGCATTGAAGATGAATCCAAAGAATCTTGATGAACTCTGGGAGTCCCGCTTTTTTTGCCATTCCAGATGACTTTATTAATAAGTTATTTGAGTCATTGCAGAGATGTATGGATGCAGTCCTCCAAGCTCATGGAAGTCATACACAATATTCATTATTTTTCCACTGCACATGACTTTATTTTCTATACTGTACATTATTTCTGTTAAGTGTCAAGACTTTTGTCTTAGCAAAGTCAGACCATACTGTCCTAATTAAATAATTAAATCAAGGCATGATTGTTTAAGTTCAGTGAAATAAGCGTAATCTTGAGGTCTTTGTCAGGTAGTGTAGTTTGTTTTTGTTTTGTTAAAATTTTTTTCACAAATTATGAATCACAGCAGACAAAGATTAATATGTAGCTTCGAATATATATTTAAAACTAAATAAAAAAAAATCAAAAGAAACCTTTCTAATTTTTGACATTCAAGCTGAAGTACAGAGGTTCTCCTACTAGAAATCCACAAATCACGATATTGTCCAAATAATTTCCAAATGGTTCACATACTTTATAGAATTGGTCTGTTTTGCATTGAATTTTACAATATATTGTAATTTTCCATTAACACTTTGTGCCAAGCATATGCTGTATAAAGGATTTGTTAAGTTAATGCAGTTGATGAAACCTCATGTTATGCACTCAAAGCTCTTTTGAATCAGCCGGCAGTCTTTTTTCTTTCATGATAAATGATTGGCAGTCCAGGTGAAAGCGGTGTCTCTGTAATCCGCTAATTGATGACCTCCGTAAGCACAAATGGCGCATCATGTGTTTTGATATGATGCTTTTCAGCATTCGCTCAGCTGAGCCAGCAGCTACAACAACACAAACAGCCAGCCGTTTACTGCTGAGCTGTCACAACGCCTGTCAAACACTGGCTCATGCCCAGAACAACACACTAAAGGAAACTGAATGGCATGCATTGGGTTTCCCCATCATGCATTTGTTAGACTGGAAAACCGAAATGCTGTTTGATGCTTTGTGGTTGGCGTCAGATGCGCACCAACTCTGCAGAATATGAAAGGCAGCTCGAGTCTCTGTGAGGCTTGTGGTGTTTATTGTTTGCCAGTGATAAGAGAGATGGATAGTTTTTTATCATGTTTCATCTTGGGTTGCTAGACTAGTTGCTCGACTTCTGCTGTGTGTTGCTTTGTTTTATGCAAATGAGCGATTTGTGCAGTGTTTATTGCTAACATGGCCTTGACAAAGATAGAAGATTTATCTGATTAATAGATTCGTTTGACTAATAGCATTTGATTGTTATTCGATGAGATCTGTCATGTTTAAGTGTTAATAGTTGTAACACTGACTAAGTTTACATGGACGTCAGTAATTGAATTATTTGCCTTAATCTGAATAAGACAATAATATGATTAAGTGGTTTACATTAGTTGCTTCTTAAATAATCCTGTTTTACATGTTATAACACATAATTCAATTAATGTCATTGCGTCACCTCGCTATCCACATTTCCTTTCATTTAATTTCTGGTATTTCATTTGTAATTTGTCAACTTTAACTGCAGCTTGAAACTTTCACTTTAATTCAGGAACATTTCATGCATGCTCCCGTGACAAACGAGATATTGGATGAGAGTATGAATTGCTAGAAGAATGCTGTTTTAATGGAATTTAATACCACACGCCGTATGGGTAAAAAAAAAAAAAAAACTCTGCATTTTGCGATGCAGGTGTCTGTTATCCTTCACTAACTCAGTAGGTGCAGAGAATAGCATCAAAAAGCTTTTGTGCATAGACTATCCTGTCGCAAAATTCTGCACAAATCCTACACGATGGTAATCATTTGATTAAGGTTTCTACATGTCTGTGCTGCACTTCAATAATGCGACTAAAATTGGCATACACCACGTGTGTTTATTTGATTTCTGTTTAGTTCAATTATGACTTCAGTAGGATTAAATTAATTAAAAAATTCAGTTTCCATGGTAGACTCTCAATCAGAGTCAGGGTTGCATGATACTGGAATTCGGGACAAGTCGATACTAAAATTTAAAAGCGTCCTTACATTTGAGTGTAAACAGTGGTGAGTTTGGTGAATTGATGACCCTTATGGCCAATCACAGTCATTTCTGTTGAGTGAGCAGTGTTTAAGAACACGCTCAACAGCGTTCAAATGTTAGGGGTAAATAGACGTTGTTAAAACTTCAGTATCGGTTGGTACTGAATTCCAGTATCGTGGCAACTAGGCATGGGCCAGTATAAGTTTCTGACGGTATGATAACCTTGGACACCAATATCATGGATAAACAGTATTGTGATTACTGCTGTAAAATAAGTTACTTTTAAATGTCTGAGTAATTAACTTAAACTTTCCCCCCCTTTGAACACAATGTAATAATTATAAGAAACATTTAAAATATTTTGGAGCAGTAAACATGTCAGACTGAATAATTCAAATGAATCACTGACTTAAAATGGCATTTTTGGATATCTTTTCTACTGAAGGTACTGTTGTCCTAAAAAAAAACATTATTATTTATTTATTTTTTTTACAAATACTGTAGGATCAGAATAGCAGAACCTTAAAAATGGTTATCGTCCCATGCTAATAAGAGTGTTGTCTTTATCGAATTAAAATTTTTATCGGATTATTAGTGTCCATGTATACATTCTCATTGGTTCTAGATCTTTTATTAACCAATTTCACTTTCTAGATAGGGGTGCATTTTTTTTGTGGGCCAAAGTGAAAGTTTGCATCACCATGGTTCTTTTGGCTTATGGTCCATTTTTACAGTTTCCTGGTTTCTCAGCGGTGGAATACGTCAAAGTTGGGTGAACTTAAAGAACAGTGAATGATAGAGTTCAACTGATACATTTTTTTGCATTTCAGTTTGATCAAATAAATAAAGCTAATCTCCATAATGGTATTTTGACTACTTTCAAAAAGAAAGAAAAAAAAGAAAAACATTGAGACTGAAAATGTTAGTTAGAAGAGAGAACCACATCAAATGTACTGTTTCGCTCATAGACGCTGCATCAGAAACCGCTTGGAAAAGTGCCATTTCATTTTTAATACAATGTATAGTAGGGCTGCACAATATTGAAAAAAATATTATGTTGCAATATTAATTGTTTTGTGATTTATATATTGCGATATGAATACAATTTCACCAGATGACTTGAATATCTCTATTTGGAAATATTTTCTAATGTTGATTGATTTGAAATTGATTTGTATGATTCTGCAGTGGAAGTAAAATCTAAAAAACAGTCAATGAACTTTTTGGGATCCTCCGACACATTTTTGATGTGGTCTGTGCTATTTGCAGTGCATTTTCTGTATTTGCATGTGTTGTGAGTATTTTCATGCATAAATATCTATAAATGCAATCAAGAAAAAGATTAATAAAAAAAAAGAATTAAGATGAAGTGTTTTAGCGTTTCCCGAGTCTAACAGTGTTTAATTACTTATTATGACTTAATGCTTTTAAAGTCATTATACAATCACAAGCATCACAACCACATGCAAATGATAAGTTATAATCCAGACTCAACATTACTTTAGCTCGGGATGTGACTATTGCGAAGAATGACATTGCGAGTGGGACTCCTTTTCAGCCCTGGAGTTTTAAGCCTTAGACCGGCCCACCTCAGTTCACGACTGACCATATTAAAATAACATCACTTCCAATTCAGTTCCTAATGACACTATCATGTCTTTGTCAAGGAAAAAGCTGTTTTAGAACTTCAAATGTTTTATATAAATATGAGTATCTGCTATGGTGCCACTGTTTGGGGTCGAATGATAGTTACAGCATCATTAACCTGCAGGCTGCATTTTGCTCAAGGGGCTGTGAGCAAATAAATAAAAAGAGCGGAGCTGCTGCAAAATATTTAATAAAAAGAGTAAGGCTATGGTCAAATAAATAAATGAATAAGAAGTTGGGACTGCTGAGAGTGCAAGAAGCTAGGGACAACGGCCTTCGCGGGCAAAAAACAGACCGGCTCACTGGGAATTTACCCGGTCCACCCGATTAGCCAATCCCTGTCTGGCGATATCAATGTTGAATCGATATATTGTGCAGCCCTAATGTATTGCATTATAAAGCTACATGATAAAAAAGCTAAAGAAATCAACATTTTAAAAAGTTGATTTAGGATTTAAGATGCTGATGAACATCAGCATGAAAAAAACTGAAAATGAAAAGATTTGATGTTGTGTGTAAGTAAACACAGAGAGTCTGTAAAAGCAGACTTTATTCATTTTCAGGCTCTGTTGCTTCATTTAGCTCAATATTATAATTTTTTTTTAGGAGTTGTGGAGTTTTACTGGTGTATTAAATGTCTGAATAAAGCATGAAACTGTTTTGAGGTTGTGATAAACTTTAAACTTTATTTTAGGCATTTGACCAAAAACAGATTTTGATTCAATGTGGACCCGAGCTTAAGGACTCAGTCCTGCAGTTTAGTTTCTGTACTTTAAGGTAACATTTCTCTGGAATTTTTTGGTCAGTTTTTATCACATCAACTGTTAGAGTATATTTACACAATGCAGTTTAAAAACAGGATTTTTTTCCTTTTGTGTTTTAAAAATATTTAGCATTTAGAGAACAGCATCGTTTGTATTGGCCAGAAGGTGTTAATGCTGCTACTACTAAGTGAATCAAACCATACACCTGCACACACAAGGGTTCTGTCATCTGCCATTGTTGTTTTGGTTTTGTCAAGGACTTGCACATTATTATAGACTGAAAGCATGACGTCCTTACTTTCACAAATTCTCATCTGTGTATTTTGAACCAAGACAATAATTGTGTCTCTTGTAAAAACTTGCAAGGCTGTTTTTGAAAGTTTGAGTTTTCAAGCCCCCAAAATACCTGTCATGTTAATTATCAGACAAAATTAATAAAAGTTGCATAGAAATGGCCAAACGGGCATACTAAGGAATTGATATTTTACGATTTTATTCAAACATGTTATGTTGATTAATATTTCTAAGCATATTGCTTAATTATGTTTAGAGAATGTACATATTTTTTGTGCGTGGTCCATATTTTGGTGTGTTAATTTGAGATTATACCAGGAATTTATTGATTAATAAAATTATTAAGGAATGGGCTTCAGCTGTATCCAATGACAAATTAATAACAGATCATCTTTCAGTGACTGTTTAGTTTATTTCCTGTTTGAGTAGTTTCTTTTTGGCATTTGTTCATTTTGCCTACTAATATAAATCCATAATACTTAAGCTGTAGTTTGTATGTTTTTTTGCACAGTAATTTTGTCATACCTTAACAAGTCAAACTGTTATTCTCTTCCAAATATAATCATTTTGATGGTTGGATTAAATGTGTAGGGTCTTCAAACGCATATGTGTAAATGTGCAAATTTTACCAGCAGACAACACTCTAGACTAGTTTTTATCTAGTGCTCTAAGCTAGTTTTTAAATTGCGTTTTAGGCTAGTTTTAAACAGCAGACAACAATCTAGTTTGGTATTTAACAGCATACAGCACTCTAGGCTAGTTTTTTACAGTAGATGGTGCTCTAGGTTAGTTTTTAACAGCAGACAGCGCGCTAGACTAGTTTTTAATCGTAAATGGTGCTTTAAGCTAGTTTTTAACAACACTGTAGGCTAGTTTTTAGAAGCAGACGACACTCTAGACTAGTTTTTAACAGTGCTCGAGGCTAGTTTTCAACAGCAGGCGGTGCTCTAGGCTAGTGTTTTATTTTTTTTAACAGCAGACGACTTTCTAGCCAATTTTTTTTTACTGCAGACAGCAATCTAGACTAGTTTTTAAAAGTAGACAGCCACTCTAGGCTAGTTTTTAACAGCAGATGGCGCTCTAGGCTACTTTTTAACAGCAGGCGGTGCTCTAGGCTAGTTTTTAATAGCAGATGGCGCTCTAGGCTACTTTAACCGCATGCGGTGCTCTAGGTCTTAAAAGCAGACAGCGATCTAGAATAGGCTAGTTTTTATCAGCAAACAACACTAAGCTAGTGTTTAACAGCAGACAGCGCTCTAGGCTAGTTTTCAACAGTAGATGGCGCTCTAAGCTAGTTATTCAAAGTAGACTGCTCTGAGATTGTTTTAACAGTAGATGGCTTAGTAGGCTAGTTTTTAACAGCAGCTGACACTAGGCCATTTTTAACAGCAGATGGTGCTCTAGGCTAGTTTTTAACAGCTGACGGCTAGGATTGTTTTTAACCTAGCACTCAAATACTCACAAGGAAGAGCACTTTTGCATTTGATCATTTAAATTACTTTTTATTTAATGACTTGGAAGACACAGCTCACTATGAACACTGTTGTATTTTTGCTTTCTTAACAAGCAAAATTCTTAAAATTAAGGAATTCAATGTCTGTAAAGCATAAAGCACCATCTGCTGTTCAACACTAAGCTCAGGGCCGGCACGTCCATAGAAGCGACCTAGGCGGCCGCCTAGGGCAGCAATATAGAGAGGGCGGCGTTCACGACACCTCCCTTACCACGCGCGTCCTCTGTTATGTCCGCGACACCTCTCTCACCACCCGCATCCTCAGATATATTCGCGCATATGCGACAGAATAGAGAGGTCGGCGTCACCGACACCTCCATCAGCACCCGGGTGTCCTCAGTTATATCCGCGCATAGGGCGGCAGAATAGAGGTCCGCGACACCCGCGCGTCCTCAGTTATATCCACGCAAAGGGCGGCAAAATAGAGAGGGTGGCGTCCGCAACACCTCCCTCCCTTAGTACCCGCGCGTCCTCAGTTATATCCGCGCATAGGGCGGCAGAATAGAGGTCCGCGACACCACTTCATTTTCATAACCGTTCACTTTCGTTTCCACATTGGGGTTGAGGGCGGCATGATCGTCCTCTGCCTAGAGCGGCAGTTCAGCTTGCTCCGGCCCTGACTAAGCTTATAATCAGGTCGAGAGTGAATAGCGATAACTATTTGTAAATCACAGAATCAATTTCTCTAAGGATGTTTTGCTAAAGGTTCAAATACTTTTCTTGTCATTTGACTTCATCCAGTACAATTACCTAAATACATTTCACAGTGTCCACATATTCTTTAACGCATTGAGTTTTGGTCTGTCCATGTCATTTCCCTTACTGTTCACATCAAAGTGGCAAAAGAGTTATAAATGGAATATAAAAATCTCACATCGGCGCTCGCTGACCCAGAAAAAGATGGGTGTCCTTGATTTATGGCACCCTGAGAAACTGCATGGTGGAACGAGGCGGAGAGAACAAGAGCGATTATCCAGCAACTTGCACAGTTGGGTTAAACGCCTTCAGCAAAAGGCCTTTTCACACATGTTACGAAGGGTACATAACCACCATGCTCTCACAGAATTGCATCTCTCCTGGCCTCATTATTCTCTTTATATCAACTTAACATACCCTGACCTGCGCATCTTCCGCCAAGACACATCACACCAGCATCACACTATAGCCAGTTTGGTTTCCTCAGCCATACTTAATTCTTTTTCCTTTCCTTTTTTTTTTCTTCACAGGGAACCCTCACACATCTGCTATTAAAAAAAAACATCTTTTCCAAATCGCACCCTCTGGCTGACTACCACTACTCTGGTAAGTCCCTCTCAACGTCTAGCATACTTTCCCTTTCCTTCCCCCTGATTTTTTTTTTTCCCTAAGGTGATGTGAGTTAATCTGTCCGGCATGCGGCCCCCGGTACCCCGTCACCCCCTGCACTGGCATTCCAGACCACGTTCCCTGTTTCAGCTATAAACAAAAGCAGCTGAAGAGTGGAAGGGAGGGTTTCGGGTGACCGAGTGGGTTGCTGGGTAAAGTACGCGAGTGGGTTAGAGGAAAGGAGGGGGAGTATGTGTGCGTGTGTGTCTGTGGCATGTTGTTAAATCCTAGGAGAAGACAGCGGCATCATTGTTTGTCTGGACATGTGTGTGCTGGCTGTTTGCCCTCTCTCTGTCCTTTGTGTGGGGATGTATTTGTGTTAGTGAGGGGGGTGGGATGGGGGACTCAACAAGCAGATTCTGATACCGTGGTCTGCTTGTCTGTCCCGCGCAGGCTCTGACAGCTGGACGCCAGAAGAGCGACGGCTCTTTAACAAAGGCATCGCTACTTACAAGAAGGACTTCTTCATGGTCCAGAAACTGGTATGTACAGGTTCGAATAAACCGTTTGCAAAATGTTTCAGTCTCCCACACAAATTACATTTTTTGGCCCTCAGAGGTGTGCTTAAAAGTGTTTCTCTGTTGAAGATGACATGCAAAACCATATTTAAGCTCATTTATTAGAGAGGTTTAGGTCATAGGTCTCAACTTGATTACTGGAGGGCTACAGCTCTGCACAGTTTTGCTCCAATCCTAATCAAACACAGCTGATCCAAATAATCAAGGTGTTCAAGACTACTATGGCCTAATTTCAGTGGTACAGTACAATTTAGTAAAAAGTCAAAAGGTACCAAAAAGTGAATCGTACCAACCACTTTTTAGGCACCCGTTCTAAGGGGTACCTAGCATGGCAAAAGGGTACCAAAAGGCAGAGCAAGACGCACAACTGAATGTTTTTGGTTTATGGGGATACATCACTAGCTTTTGCACAAGCCAGGAAAATGAAAAAAAAGGATGCGCCATTTTAAAAAACAGTCGAGACACTACATTGTAATAATATATAAATATAATAGTGTGCCATGATTGACCCGAGCTCAAACAAACCTTGTCGTAGTCTTGACCAACAGCCACAAAGCTATGAAGAAGAGCAGGATCTACCCTGTGTCCCATAGTTGTTTACACGCCCGTCTAAACCGTGAGTGGTTTTACTTTCGAGAGAGAGAGAGCTTGCCGCCCATCTATAGTTAAAAAAAACGTTCTTGGGCTGATGATAATAACGATTATTTAAGTGTTTCTGACATCTGATCCTTTCAGAAACGGACAAACGCAAGAGTGACACATGAAAAAACAAACGAACTGCCAAGTGTAACTATTATTATCGCCTTTTAGACTATTATCAACTCGGAATGACAGAATTACTCTCTAACAGAGGTTACATGTGCTGGTGAAGATTAGACCCAGATGAGAGGTTTGCACTGACTGTGGGCTATGTTGCGTGTTGTTTTTGAACCCAAATAAGGACTAAATGTATGCTGTGTGTAGTTCTTCTGTAATTAGTAACATAACGGAGACTGTAAGGGTCTGTATGTTCATGTGTCACATTTTAAAATTTGTTTTATATAATTGCATACGTTACAGTAGGTTATCATTGATTGCATTTATACACAAGTAATTATGTGTATAAAGCATTTGTTAAGTGAGAAGTGCTTCTTCGGATGATATGTAAACGGCCCCACATCTTTACTTTGACATTTCCTCGAGTGAGAATGACATTGACTGAAGCTTTTTCGTATGCAGCGCCCACTATTGGTACTCTTTTGGCAGTGGAAACGCAAGCCTGATAAAGGTGACCCATAACGTAACGTATCACTCAGGGGAAACAGGCCACTAAAGACTGTTGAGCAGGTGTGAGTTGTAGGTGGTTGGAGTCAAACTATGAAGAGCTGTGGCTCTCCAGGAATTGAGTTTAAGATTACTGGTTTAGGCCGTTTTGACTTTGGCTGGTAAGTAAGAGCTGTAAGGATAGTAGCAGTGACAATTATACCAGTAAATATGTGTACTTAATCTGTAAATAACTAAATAAAATCTGCAACCAACACATACAACCTACCTTATTTTGCTCTTATGCAGCGCATGTAGATTTTGTTTTTAATTGTAGTGTAAAAAAGGCACATTGAGCTTATATATTATACTATATTATATTTGTAATAAAAAATACCCCTCCCCCTCCCCAAAGCACCCAAATCCAGTTATACAGGTAAAGATGTCATAGATGGGCTAAGACAGATAAAACAATACACTGTATTTCCGCATACAAAATACAAATATACACATATCAATCCTTTAGTAGACTGAGAGGTATTTGTTGCTTGTGTTGATGTTTGTTTTCATTCCAGAATCTGTATAAACAAATCCCCAAATTTTATGGTAATTTTTAAATGGTCATTTAGTAGAGCTGCACAATTAATCGAAAAAAGATCACGATCTTGATTCGACCCCCTAAACTATCTTAATCCAGCATTTCTACGATTCTGCCAATCATATGTTCAAGTTCAGGAGAGAAGAAAAGGCAGCTGCGCGAGTCTTTTCATTGTCACACGCATGTTGCTCAGCGACATGAACACCTCCAAATGATGTTAAAAGAGTCACATACTGTATTCATAAGGTATAATTCACCCAAAAATGTCATTCGCGGCCGGGAAATCACACGTGACGAGAGCTGCTGACTGTGCGGGCGCACACCCTACTTAATGATAGACACACGCGCGTCTACTTTAGGGAACAGAATCTGCTTATGCTGTGAGTAACAGGTAATAAAGTCGTAAATAATTTTCAGTTTGTGGCACAGAGTGATCGTTTGAGAGCCACGCGCCAAGTAAGAACAGCACTTAGCAGTGAAAATGAAACCGAAAGCGTGCACATCATTTAAATGATCAAATCGCATTTTAGAGTTATGATTGCGACAAGCATTTGATGTTTTTTTCTTTCATAGCGAACACACTGTTGTGCATGAAAATAAATGTTTACAGTGTCAGTATACTCACTCTAGCCTATATAATTTTGATTTTACCAGTGAGTTAAATGGTCTAATAATGTTCTCAATGACAGATTGCAAGCATAGGCCTATATCTCAAACATAAATCAACATCAGAATTATTATAAGTAGACGAGAATTATTTATAGAAACTAGTAGACTTACACACAATATTAATATTGTTGTTTTACCATATGTTTGAGAATAAACAATAATCTCATATTAGGCTTTGTTTTACATCTACAGAATCGTGAGACAATCGTTATTTTTATTTTAAGCAAAAAAATAAAAATAAAAAATCACGATTCTCTTTCTAGCCAGTATCGTGCAGCTCTATCATTTAGTTTATCTTTTATACCGTATGTTATTAAGTCCAGTCCACTGTTATGTGCCAAATCTTTCAACCAGTGGTCAATGGATGAATTTCTACATTCCTCCAATAGAGTGCTATGCATTTTAAGGAAAACAAAAACATGGTAATGATTTTAGTTTGATAACCTGATAATGACTAAACTTACAGGAAATAAACCCAAAGCACATATTTGAGGGTTTACTGGAACTGGTTTTGAAATAATCGAGAAAATAAATGTTTCCCAGAGTCTTCATCATTCACTTTCCCAGATACAATATTTTTCTATGTTTTTGGCATTTGAAAGCCATATTGTATTGGATCCATCTAAATCTACTATTAATTGACAACTTCTGGGATTAAATACATGTCTGGCTCCATTCTGAATGCACTACATGTTGATTTTATTGCACAACACCATTCTTTTAATGCACCGCCTCCGCTTAGACATACATACGAATGCATATATTTAACCATTAATAAAACGAGGAAAAAATAAGAACGGGTAAAAATAAGGACAATAATTAAAACATGATCACTGACACAGAAGCTAGGATAGATGTGGTATAAGTCTTGAAACAAACCAGCTTTTTAACAACATTCAAACAACCGACCTCATAAGAATGAATTATAACAGCCTGTTGTGTCCCAAAATGTTATTAGCCAGCATAAACTGAACATTCTGTAACTTGTTTACCAAAACACACACACTCAACACCTTGTTGTGCTTCTGCTTTTGGCAACATCCGCCTAAAACTTCCTATAAACACTCTAGTGAGCATAGAGAACTTTCACGCAACCATCTAACAACAGACTGAAATGCTAAAAGCAATGTAACAACAACCTTCTAACATCTACCCAGAAAATCAATGCAACACATTAGCAAACAGCTTCTGAACATCTGAGCAGCCCCAGAGCGACACACTCACACACCCTGTCATCCAACCAGAACATCCTAGTAACACAGGTTTCACACCGCAAGTGTGAGCAGCACATCTTTTTTTCAGCGTGCTTATAAACAACTGACTGCATACACATTGGGTGCAGGAGCAGCAAGTGAGAAGCGCTGCAGAGATATGGTGTATTGCCAAGTCAACATTTTATTGCTGTAATGCTCATTCTCAATTAAAGAGAAAGCGCACTTTTTTTAATGGGCGGAATAAAAAATTCACACAAAAAGTGCTGAAGACTGTCTATTGTGCTTTAACAAGAATTGGATTATAACAGAATTCAAAATCTAGATTGTAAAATATTAAATATAATAGTAAAATATTTATTATATATCATAATAATAGAATGCTATGTAATGTAATATAATTACATATTGCTGTGACTATGCTGGTCTCTTATACAAGTATGGTCATATTTGGTGATTCTTGCAGTCTTAACAGATTAAGATCACCTGCTCTGAAGCAATCAGAACACATTAACAACTGCATAGTAACTCTCTAGCCATCGCCACCACAATTTGTTTATGTAGATGCCAAATAGATAAATATAGACATGCCAGCGCAACTGCCGTTATGTGTTGTTAATATAATACAATATTTTTGTATAAATATAATAGAAAAATATTGTTTCCCCCAAAATGTCTCAAAATTATTTATTTATTTAAATATAGATTTAATTTCCCAATGATACTGGATAATTTAATTAATGCTGTCAAATTAATAATTTTAATTATCGCATCCAAAATAAATGTTTGTATTTACATAATATGTTTGTGTACGGTGCAAATTTACATTGATTTATTACTTAAGATGCAAAATATGCTAATTAATAAATTAATAAATATGTAATGTGTATGTGCGCCATATGTGTATTTGTGCTGTATAGCAATTTTTGCATATATATATATATATATATATATATATATATATATATATATATATATATATATATATATATACAACGCATGGCCTCCTGCCAACGCACGCCTCCCACCAGTGCCGATATACAGCCATATCGCACTGCTACTCGTGTGATATTGCTCATATATATATATATATATATATATATATATATATATATATATATATATATATATATATATATGTCTATTGTATATATTTATATAGTCTATTGCAGATTTAGATATTTCATACATGCATTAAACAACAATTAAAACTGCACAGTCATTTCACACAGTGGCTTATTGAATCTAGGCCCACACTGAATCTGTGCGCGCAGAATTCACCAGATTTTAAGCCCATCATTAATTCTGTTTATTTACTTGAGTAAATTTGTGTAAATCTATATTTATTGAGTTTTTGAATTATTTACAGTAATATTATTGACTAATGTAAAAATGTTCACTTGATTTATGTACAATGCAGTTTGTACAATAAAATGTTCTGTCTTTTAGTAGAGATATTATATGAGAGACTTCCTTTGATTACCAAATAAAGTGGATTTAATTGAACTTGCATTTTAAACATTAATTAAAAGTTAAAAATGTATTATTTTTTATTTCACATATTAAGATTTTAGTTATGATACTTCCAAAATAATTCTGCAGAAATCCAAAGACTTTTATAAAAATTATCTGCAGAAAAAGCAAAAAAACGTCTGCAGATTCCATCTGGCCCTACTAATGAGGCATCTGTGTATATATGACCACAACTGAAACCCGAGCATTACAGTGTTTTCCAGCTGCTTACACGCAGTCTTTCATGGCACACAATTTCTGAAACATCTCACTTAAAATGCAAAAATACAGAGCAAATCTCCACAACCAGAAGCTATTTCTCAGCCTCAAGCTCATTTTTCAGTCGCATAAAACACTTCACGCAACTCTCCTCCTAGAACACAAAAGTCTAACTGGAAGCTTCTTGCTTTCCACACACAACCAATCAAGACGCAACACTTATATATTTTCACATAAGCAAAAGCTAATTTCTTAACGGATCACAAGTCAGTCACTGCTTTACTCTAGTACAGGCCTATAAATTGGTCAAAGGTGTCAGGACACTGGCTTGTTCTGGTAAAAAAAAAAACTAGTTTAGCCCCCACCCACAATTTGTAGTTTTGTACCTACCGCATATTCTTCTTTTCTAAATCTCCTAAATTCTTCTAGAAAACAATAGAGGAGTTCATCTCAGCCTGGTGCTGGAAAGTGTATGATGGCCAACACTTTTCCCCTTGAAACTTCACACACAGTTGTGATCTTTAGGAGAAAATACTTTTGCCTTACATATGTATTTTCATTATTATTTATACATTACTACATACAGTATGTTTATGGTTTTGTTGTATGCTACTGTATACAACAATATATGTTTCTACAGCACATGTCATTGGTGTTCACAGTGTACCTGTTACTGTTCTCTGCAGATTATTTCCACTGTAGAAAATTGTATTGAAATGTAGATATAAGCCTATAAAAGAGCACAGAGTTTTAGATTTAGAACAACAGTGTTGACATGCTATATTCAAACATTTACTATTATGAAAGACTTGTTTGCTCTGATGCAAATGCTTCATTCTGACAGGTGGTTATGGCTGGGTTGTCCAAACACAGTACTAGATGGCCGCTGTCCTGCATAGTTTCCCTCCAACTTCCTTTAACACTCCTCCCTGAGGTTTCTAGTATACCTAGAAAGAGCTTGATTAGCTGGTTCAGGAGTGTCTAATTGGGGTTGGGACTAAAATATGCAGGACACTGGCCCTGCAGGACCGAGTTTGCTCAACCCTGGTTCATGGCATTTTGAATGCAGTGTTACATTTTGAAGTAGATGTGAGGGTTTTTTGTGTGCAGTTTAGAAAAGAGGTGACACTATTTTGAGAACGTGTATAAGCAGTTGGAAACAACTGTAAGAATGCAAGCTTGGTGTGGTTTTTGGTTGTAAATTATGGCAATGCTGAATTGTTCTATTTGTCTTGAAGGTGAGCTCCAAGACTGTAGCACAGTGTGTGGAGTTTTACTACACATATAAGAAGCAGGTGAAGATCGGCAGGAACGGCACGCTCGTATACGGAGAAACAGAGCCGCTGGAGACTAAACCCACAACAGAGGAGGAAGTGGACAACAAAGTGAGTTCCTGTGGCTTTGTGTATATATATATATATATATATATATATATATATATATATATATATATATATATATATATATATATATATATGTATATATTTAGATGTATATATTTAGATGTATATATTTAGATGTATATACACCTCCAGTCAAGTCCAGTGCAGTGCAGTAATGTTTCATTTCCATCAGAGTTCACAGAAACTCGAATCACGGAAAGAAGATGAGGAGAGCAGGAAGTGGGAAGGGTCATGTGACAGGAAGCAAGAAGACAGCCCCGGCAGGGTGACACAATCTCTACAGGCCACCGAAAATGTGAGATTTATGGAAGTTTGCATGTTTTTTATGTTATCAAATTCTCACAGAAATAGCCTGACAAGTAAGAAAAGAAGTCTATCAGAGGGTATTGAAAGGCAATATTTATGTGTGCTTTAAGCCCTGTGTGATATGTATAGTGCCATCTAGTGGTGTGCTTCATTATGATTTAAAAATGCACCCAAAAATGAAAGTTTGCTCACTATTTACAGTACTCACTAGGGCTGCGCGATATTGGGGAAATCTAACATTGCCATATTTTGCTATTCTGCGATCATATATTTCAATATGAATACATTTAACCAGATGACTTGAATATCTCTATTTGGAAAGAGTTATTTTAGATTGATTGGAATGATTCTAAAGAGAAGTGCATATGAATAAAATATAATAAACCATCTACAAGCATATATCAATACAAAAAAAAAGATACGATTGAAATAAACAATGTTTTATCGTTTTCCGAGTCTACCAGTATTTGGGTAATCGTATAATAAAAATAAAAATAGTTCAATAAAATGAATCATTTGTCAAAGTTGCAAATGGTACACTTTCTTTATATGTATATGTTTTTATTTATTCTTTTAATGCTTTTAAAAAATCATTATACAGTGACAAGCACAAAAAACACATGAAAATGATCCATAGCTGGAATCATCCAGACTAAACTTACAGGGGATAAACCGAAAGCACATATTTCAGGGTTAACTGGAACTGGTTTTGAAATAATCAAGCAACTTAATGTTTGCCAGAGTCCCAATCAGCCCACTTTCCCAGATACAATGTTCTTTTGAGTTTTTTTGGCATGTGAGACCTATATTGTATTGGATTCATCTAAATCTTAATCTTAAGCTTAAATGCGTGTCTGGCTCTATTCTAAATGTGCCGCATGTTGATTTTATTGCACAAAGTCATTTTTTTAATGCACCGCCTCCGCTTATACATACATTTACATATAGTTGACCATCAATGGGATGAGGAAAAAACAAGAAATGGAAAAAGTAGGACAATAATTAATGTAATGTAATGTGTGTATTCATGTAGCGCAATTAAAACATGATCACTAACACAGAAGCTAGGATAGATGTGGTATATTGTTATTATGGAATTATAAGTTTCTTTCTGCATTCTGAAGGGTTTTGAGATATTGAGCTTCAAAGTTTTTGCATTCCATAGCAAACAGTTTGTGTCTAGCATTTGTTTTTTAAATAAAAAGTCTTAATTTAAACAACTTATAAAAAAACACCCTATAACGTAAATAAGCTGTCAAACAACTGCCCTCATTAGAATAAATTATAACTGCTGTTTGTGTCCCAAAATGTTATTAGCCAGCATAAACCGAACATTCTGTAACTTTATCTGTTAATAAACCAAGTACAAGCATATATCAATACAAATAAAAAAAAAGAAACAATTGAAATAACTATGTTTTATCGTTTACCAATCTACCAGTATTTGGGTAATCGTATAATAAAAATAAAAATAGTTATATTAATCATTGTAAAAGTTGCAAATGGTACAATTTCTTTATATTTTTTTCTTATTTTTTAAATTCTTTTAATGCTTTTAAAAATCATTATACAATCACAAGCCTAAAAAACACATAAAAATAATCAATTATAATATACTATATAAACTCAAGACACCCTGTGATGTGACTTGCGAATGATCACTTTGCCGTATGGATGCTGAAACGATATATTGTGCAGCCATAGTACTCACTTTGTTAGTGTTTAATGTTGGAAACTAGTAGCCATTGAGATGACATTAAGATTGTTCAACAAAGTAAAATAAAATCTAACGGCTTTGGAGCAAATGAAGGATTAGTAAATTTGACTTGAATTTTAATGAATTGACAGGGACATGCAAAACACTACATTGACCTTAAAAAGGTAATTTGTTTTGTACCTGGCTTTAGCAAAAACTGCTAATTTCCACCTGCAGTCCCTGAATGATGACAGAATTTTTTATTTTTGTGTGAACTATCTCTTTAAATATTCAATTGTAGTTTTTGTAATGCACTAAATACAAATAAAATGGTCCAAAATATAACAATGAAATTGTAATACATTTATTAGGGACCATCACACTGAAGTAACTTTTGAAGGGTTTTAAATTAATTCACCACACAAGTGTTTGATCTCTGTATGTATTTAGCTTATGTTTGCTTGCGTAACATTTGTTTCCTGTCAGGCTGCTGCCGTCTTGGTCTTGAGTCAGGAGAACAGCACCAGACATCCGTCCACATTGGGGGTCAGTCATCCTCCTCATCCACCTCAACCACCATCCAAATCTCGCTCCGACACTGCTGCCAGGAAAACTGGGCCCAGCAACACAGGAAAGGGACAAACCAACCAAGAGGGCGAATTCCCCTGCAAGAAGTGTGGCAGGTCAGTTTACTGGGATATATCTGTGCAATGTTATATCTTGTATACGTTTATTTAAACAAGCTGCTTTTGGCAGACGGCATCCAATTTTGGTGTCTGCATCAAATTTACTGAAGTGATTTTCATAGCAGGGTGTCCGCGGGGTCCTAAAGTCTTAAAATGTCTTAAATTGTACAAAAAATAAATTTAAAGCCTTAAAAAGTCAGTCGAGTAGGTCTTAAATACTTTTAAACAGTATTTAAACTTTTACATTTATAGCCAATCAGTACAACCAACAGATCTAAAAAGGTCTTAAAGTCTTAAATTTGACATGATGAAACGTGCAGAAACCCGGTATAGGCATGACAAGCAAGTAAAGAGCCTCCTTCAATGTTTTTTTTTTAATTATATAATTTTAAAATATGGGTGAATTTATTGTACTTGTTCATTCAGTGTTATTCATATATTTTTATGAAAAAATGACACCACATACTTTTACTGAACTTTTGTTTAGGGTTAGAAACAACTTGCTTATACATGGCAAAACCTAGTGCTGTGAAGGATCGTTGCAAAGTGTAGAGATTTAAAATGACAATTAATGAAGTATTTGGAGCTGCACTGGTGTCCTCAAATATATCTATAGATAAATATAGATAGATATAGATAAATATAGATAAATAAATCTATATTTTATGGTCTGGTGAAGTTCTTGATTCTGATTGGCTGGAGGGTGTGCATTATTTTTGTTGAAACGCACAGGTAGTTCCAGTCAGTTTTGATCACAGTTTGAAATAAATGCGCTTCTCCTAAACTTTTGTAGCTACCATAGCAACTCGCATGTGCTGCACAGGAAACCAATGAGGATGGTTAATAGTGGATGGGAAATCTGCAAAATTAGAAAAATACTGCTCAATTATTCCACAAAGTAAAGTATTACAAGTTTTTCAAGCAAGAATATTATTTTAAGGTCAAATCGGCAGTTTATGTACAAGTATAGCGTGTCTTTAAAAATTTCGACTCTTATATCTGCCAGACCATCTCAGGACCTGCCGCTGGATCTCATCTACTGCATCTGTTGTTAAATCGGATATATAATAAATCTTTGATGTGTCTGACGGTCAGTATTTAGACTTTTGAACCTATTATTTGTTCTCAGGTGTATTTTTTTGGTCGATCGCAAAGATAAGTTTCATAATTAATTAATGACTGTAAAAAATTTAATAATACACCGATCCTTAGTGTTTGCTAAATAGCTTTTGTATTGGTTTATTTTTCTGCTCACCGATGCTGCTTTTATTTTATTCAAAAATACAGTACAAATTATGGAACGTTATTGCACTTTAAAATAACTGTTCAAAAGTAATTTATTATTTCATTTAATAACTTATTCCAGTGATTTTAAAGATGAGTTTTCAGCATCACTCCAGTCTTCAGAGTCACATGATCCTTCAGAAATCACTCTAATATTATTTGTTGTTAATATTATTATTGTTTATTATTATTATTATTATTATAATTATTAATGGTAATAGTAATAAAACAATAATGACTGGAGTAATTTTATTTGAAGCTACATACAATAAGATAGCAGTTGTTTATAATTTTAATAAATATTTAACAATTTTTTTAATTTTAATAAATACCACTTTGAACAGAATAAAAAGAAAAAGAAAAAAAACTGACCCTTAACTTTTGACTGGTAATATATTTGTATATTAAATTATGTTCCATGCATAAAGTAACATGTTGCTAAAGCTTATTTAATTAATTTGCCAATTTTAATAAGATTTGTATGTATATTATGAAATGTATAAAGCGGATATTCTGCTATAGATAGCCCAGCATTTGTAGTATTAACAGTTATTGAAAGAGAAAGCCATTATACATACGTATTCTCCCTCATCAGAGAAGTGTTAGAAAGTTGAGAAAAGAAACACGTGTGACTGGAAACACACGCCAGGTGTGACTAGGAATGTTTTATTTGCCCATCTGTGATCGGATTGATGAAATTGCATCTTAACATTAGCAGGTTTAAACAGCAAACACATGATCTCTCTCTCTCCGTCTGTCATCCTGCCTGTCACTGCTAATTCAGTGGAGGGACTAGAAAATCTAACAAGTCAAAACTGGTGAAACTTCTGACAAATATTGCACAGCGAGGACAAACCTTATTAAATTAAAAACCTTTAATGCATGGCAAGCCATTGATTATTCCTTACTTGTATATCTTGTCAGAACAAGATATAAATGACAATAAGTGTCTATTTATGGACACCAGTGCATATATAAACAATAGTTGTTATTCTGAATTACATCTTACTGGGTGTCTTTTGTAAATGTAGCTCATTTAGTACAATCTAAAACTAGCTCTCCTATTACTTTTTATGATGCACAAATCATCAGATTACATGCACTGTGTGGTTGTTTCATAGAGCTGACAGAGAGCTGCTTATAAAGGTGGAAGGGTCTTACAGGGAAATCAATAAAGCTTGACAGCTCTGAGGTGTTCATGCAGCAGGGTTCAGTCTAGTAGTAAGCAGTAAAAAGGCAACATCTGATTTTGATTGGAGATTTTATCCATGGCAACAGTCGGCTTGTTAAATCAACAGTCTCTTAGCAACCAAGTCCATGGAGATGTTGAATGCCACGTTTCCTACATACTGTGTGTGTGTGAGTGAGAGAGAGATTGAAGACACACACACACACACACACACGTGCTCTTGCTTCCAGCAATGTCCAATGTTACTGCAAGGCATTAAAAAGAATATCTTTGTGAGATGCTGTTTATGAGGAGTGAAGTGTTTACAAATGAGACCCATCTGGTGTTAAATTAAACTCAATCGTTGGTCAGCTAGCATTAGTCTTTTTGTAATGATTTAGTTAATGAGTGTTTTTTGACAGTTCTAATTCACTGGCATTTCTGAATCTCTAATTAGTGAGCTAATGATTAATCTTCAATCTACAAGTCATTTAGTCCACTTTGCAAAAAGAAAAAAAAAAAACAATACCTCTTTATGAGGCGTTTATGAATCAGACTGAATTTAGGCCCAATCCCAATTCTAGCCCTTAGCCCTTCCCCTTACCCCTACCCCTCTTTTTGCAAGCTCCCGTAAAGGGGTAGGGTTGTCCCAATACTCTTTAGGCTAAGGGTTTAGGAGAAGGGGTGAATAGCCCTTTGAACAGATATTTTATTTAGGAGCACACTCGAAACCAAGGCGTAAGAACATTTCCCAGAATACACCAGCCACAACGGCAGTATAGCTGGACCCGGAATTAAGGAGATCCACAAATTAGTAATTTTTGTCATTATTACGAATTTTTACAACAAACAGACACTTTTTATGTCTAAAAAAAATAAAATAAAAAATCGCTAAAAGAAAAGCTACAAATTTTCGCGATCTACAATCCCTAATCATAACTCCAGTCCCAGTACAGCAGTCCCACAACATTCTGAAACTTGATGACACTGGAATGCCCTTTCAGAAAAGTCTACAAAAATAGAATTGGGATTGGGCCTTTTTCTCAGGTTTAACTACATATCTCAATCTAAGGGTGCTTTCACACCTACACTTTTGTTTCGGAACGTGTCTCGTTTGCCCAGTTAGCGCGGTTCGATTGGCATATGTGAACAGGGCAATCGCGCTCTGTTCCGCGCCAAAGTAATCGCTCCGAGATCGCTTGAATGAGGTGGTCTCGGCTCGATTGAAACGAACCCTGGAGCGGTTCGATTGCAGTGAGAAAGCGATCCGATCCGAGCGCGGTTATATCACAGTGTTTTATGGATATGTAATAGGCTTAAGGCTATATGAAGAGAGAATTATGAGTATGGCGGGAAGTTTCGCGATTCTCTGGATGCCCGCAAACGAGTGATGATCTCCGGGTAATCTCGTGTCTCTCTCCCAGTCCTCAAATAGGCATCGTTGCGCACCGTTCTCACCCCTCCCCACCGCGTCTCTCGCGCGCACCCTGTCAATCACCACCAAACCACCACCTCTCCTGACAGCAGAGCGGGACGCTGCAAAATAAACCCTGACACTCTGACCAATGTAAGGAGAGTTTACTCGCACGTGACTTGTTTTAGCTCTTTTGGTCCGATTAGAAACTTTGCAGTGTGAAAGCGAACCGCTCCAAGAGCAAAGAGCAACAATGTAACAATTTTAATCTCTGTTTTGGAACAACTGAATCGATTCACAGGTGTGAAAGCACCCTGAATCTCTGATTTGTGAACAAAGCATTCTTATTGGCCGATCAAGTTAATAAAAACTGTACTATGAATCATAGTTTATGAGTTATAGTTAGAAGTTCTGCTGAATTAACTGAATGGTCAATTTTATTTTTTTCATATCTTTGCAATGGATGATCTGTTTATCTGGATCATTAATGCAGTGTATATGATTCAAATCAGAGAGAGATCATATTTTTTATTTGCAGTGAATCAGTTGATTCAGTTAACCAAACCAGTTCATGTGAATGTTATGCAATTCCAATTGATCCATTTCTCATTTCATCTTTGAGCCCAATTTGAGAATGAATCGATCGTTAGAGTCGGATGTTTGTTTATTTATTAATTTACTTATTTATTAATTTTTACCTGTCTGAATTAATATTTCCTTAATATTTCCTGAATTATGTTGATTATTTTTCATTAAGCTTAGCTCATCTTAAATAACTTCATGACTGATTTATAAATGATTCATTTTTAGTTGCATCTTAAAATTTGTTGATCCAGTTGACAAAACCTGTCTGAACGATTGGTTCATGAATCATGTCTGATCTGGGGGAGAAAATCTTGCTTTTCATTATACCTTTGCAGTGAATCTGTTTGATCTAAATCACTAAACCTGTGTGTACGATGCATTCACCAATCATACTACTCCAATTCTCTGAATCAGGTATTCAGAAAGACAAATCACTTATTTGAACAAAGAATCATTCTTTTGAACCAGGTCTTTGCAATGAACCGGTTGATTCAGTTAGCAAAACTAGTCTGAATGACTGGTCCCAAACGGCAAACTATAATTTATGCACTTATGCTCTATGTACTTATGCACTTACAAACTCAACATTATAGTGCATGTATGTAGTGTCATCCCAAATGGAGCACTAAGCAGAAATTCAAATCGTTTCCCAAATAAGGTTTGACAGGTGCCAAATTAGTGAAATAAATGACCAAACTACCAAATTAAACCTGCCATGAGTATAACTGCGTTCACCATCGGGAGGTGCTATAACCTCTCGTAGGACAATTTTGCTTTTACAATCCAAAATAATCACACATCAGTGTCCAAAAGTTCTCCCCCTTCTGTTACGTATGCAAAACTGCGACCATTGAGTGCGTGAAGGGTCCAACATTCCACACTTCATTTTAATTATTGAATAAGTGCATCATCCGGCTGTTTAAAGTGTACCTATTATTATTATTATTAGAGTTTTCAGTGTGAATGCACTACTTGCACTATTTATACTACAAAATGGTGTAGAATAGTGCATATGTATGCATTTTAGGAAACACCTACTTTTTCACAAATCCATTTGATACTGTTCTCTGGTTTAACTAGCTAAATAATCTGCATGTCCAGTTCATGAACTGAATCAATCTTTAAAGATTTTTATTGTTTGAATTATTATTTTGTTAATTCACTTATGAACTGATTGACTCACTGATCAGATCAAAGGTATCAGTTGATCTTGCTCAAAGTCTGAATGAGTTCATGAATCTGACTGAACTGGTAAATGCATCATGATTTTAGTGAAATCTCTGCAGTGAATCAGTTGAGCCAGTTAACAAAACCAGTCTGAATTATTGATTCACAAATCCAGTTGATCAAACTCCTCTGGTTCTTTCTGAATCTCTGATTTCCAAGTGACTCATTCTTTTGAGTCAGATACCATTTCTCTAAATCCAGCTGATTCCAACTTTCTAAATGATATGGACATCTTATTTGTGAATGAATCATTGTTTAATTATTGAGTTCATCTTTATTTATATAATGCTTTTTACCATGTGGATAGTGTCAAAGCAGCTTAACATAGATAAAGAAAAGAGTAAAAGCCATGATATTGCAAATTATTGTGGAACTTTTCAGCAATCCAGGCAGGCTTGAGATATGCAATGTTTTCAGTGATTCCTTTAATTAACAAAGCTTTGCTGAACTGATCGCGATTGCTGTTGATCCAGATCTCATGTTCATGTCTGATCATGAATAGATTTAAATGAATCATCTCTGCAAATAAGCATTACACTCGGTTCACAAAAAACATTTGAATGCATTGATAAATCTGACTCAGCCAATTCTTCATGAATCAAACAAGCGTGAATGAACGATTCTTTTTAGTCATATCTTGTTGATTCAAGTCCTGTCAAATGAAAATAACGTTTTTTAATGTTAGTATCAGTATTGTTTGATTGTTTGATTTCTAGTGTGCTCCAAAACAGTGACACAATTTAGATATAAATCTGATAAAAACACGTAAAGCCTAAATATTGTCTAGTATCTGATATGCCCTGCCCCCTTCACCTCACTCTCACTGGAATAGCTGTGATCAAACAAAACGCTATTGGTTGTTGTTTTTTTTTTAAACAAAAGGGGAGGGGCTATAGTATGTCCTATGCACTTTACGGGACCTTTAACAAAACCTGAATAAAAAACCTGTCAGTACCTGGATGCTGTTGTAGTTTGTTTTAGTCCATCAGGGGGTGCTCAACCTGGGGTTTTTGTGAGTTCTAATGCCCCAGTAAAGTGAAGGGGACACTATACTATAATGGGCGCCGATGAGATATTAAACAGAGGTCCTGACTCTCTGTGGTCATCAAAAATCCCATGGCCCTCATAAATGAGTAGGAGTATAATCCTGATGTGCTGGCCAAATTCCCTCCATTGGCCCTTATAGGGTTGTACGATATTAGAATTGGGTACCAATTGATACTGGAATTTTAAAAACGTCCCTTTACCACTAACATTTGAGCGGTATTGAGCATGTTTACAGATACAGGGACAGTGGAGCATTTTTAATGCCGCGATTCATCGGTGGATTACTCATATGTCAGCTTATTGACAAATCAGCAGTTCGACATGACTTTGAAACGCTCCAGTGTCCCTGTATCTATGTTTACACTCTATGTAAACAGCGTTAAGTTCGGTGAACTGATGACCTTTACGATAACAGTCATTTCTGTTGAGCATGTGAACAAAATGGCAATTCAGCGGTGTTGAGGAACTCTTTCAGTAGTGCTCAAATGTTAGCAGGAAATGGACGTTTTTAAAACTTGAGCATCGATTGGTACCGAATTCCAGTATCGTGACAACACTAGGCCCTTACCGATCATGGCCTCCCAATCATCGCCATCCACCGAATTGTCTCTATTACTGTCTCTCCACTCCACCAATAGTTGGTGTGTGGTGAGCACACTGGCGCTGTTGTCCTGTGGCTGCTGTCACATCATCCAAGTGGATGCTGCACACTGGTGGTGGTGTCAAGAGAACCCCCTCTTATGATTGTGAAGCACTTTGGGTGTATTGCCACACACAGTAAACGCGCTATATAAAAACACACATTATATTACATTCAAACTACTGACTTGCAGATATGATCAATTAGTTTTTTCTTTCCCTCTAGGATCTTCTATAAGGTGAAGAGCCGCAGTGCCCACATGAAGAGTCACGCCGAGGCGGAGAAGAAAGCGGCGGCGCTCCGGCAGAGAGAGGCCGAGCAGCGGGCAGCAGCCGCCTTGTTAGCGGCCCAGCAGAACGGGGCGATGGCAGATCAGGGCAGAGGGAGGAGAGCGAGCAGCGACGACTCTTCTGATGAAGACGAGGATGCAGATGATGAAGACTGGCGCTAGCTAACAATCCCCTGCCCACGACGAAACAAAAGATAAAAAACATATTTATTTTTACCTTACCAGCCAACAAGACCCATCCCAAAAGAACAGTTTCAGGGACTGGCTCACTCCCGTATAATGTGTGTGTGTGCGTGTGTGTTACGTGTGTATGAGGCGGATAAAGACAGAGACCGATGCTGTAGAGGCATTCAGGGGCTTCGTGTTCAGATATAGGGCTATTGGGAGTGTAAGCCATGCCATCTCAGTGTGAATGTGTGTGTGTCTGCGTGCGTGCGTGTGCAAAATGCACTTTTAGACTCATGGACACACACTGATCTGTGCACAGAACTCACTCACTGTTCACTGCTGTGAAATGGACGCCGAAGGACACAAAAGCAAGTGTGTGTGTGCGTGTATGTGTGTGTGTTTTCTCCTCCTTTTCCGAAACGAAGATATCTTTTTCTTCCACGTGACTGACTGCCAAACGCTTGCACAACTGTGCTTGTACGCCTGGTCTTGATCTCCAGTGCTGTAATTACGGGCTTTCTGTTTTTGAGCATCTTAAAGGTATAGTTCATCCCAAATGGAAAATTCAGGCAGGCGTCACCCTTATGTCGTTCCAGAATAATACTCCTTTTTTCTGTAGAACACACAGATTAGCAGAACGTTCATGTTGTTCTGTGCCATTCATCGCAAATATAACCCAAGGGCTTTTCATCTTCAAAAGAGACGAAAAAAAATCATAAGTACTTCAGATAACTATGCGGATTTTCAAATCTTTTGAAGCCACAAAGTCGTCTTGACATAGTGTTTTAACTGAAACTTATCAAAAAAGGATGATTATGGCTGGTTTTTCCTTTAATAGTAGCTTTTTGTTAAAGATTTCAAGAAACATTTGACCTGTTTTATGCACCACAGCCAAACAAAACTGGGGTTTATTTCATTTTTGCAGTCTTGGATAATGAATAATCTGTCCAAAATGTAGTTTTCTCTTTAATATAACAAAGTCTTAAAATAAAGTGCTGAGAAAGACACTTAAATTAAATATAAATGCTTATTTAAAAAAAAAAAAACATCTAAATTTGCAAATCATGGAGAAAAAAAATAAATGCACAAACTGATAAATATTAAACAACCATAGTATAGGATGTAATCATAGAAAACACTGCACTTTACTAAAGCTTGAAGGCCCAGTAGTTGCAAAAGAGCAGCTTGAACATTCTGCTTAATGTCTTATTTCTTCCCACTCTCAAAATAAGCGGTTGGAAAGATCTAATGTAAGGGGATTAAATCTATAATTATTCTTTTTGGAACAAACTTTAAAAAATCATCTAAATTTGAAGGTCATGGGGAAAAAAACATTGAGTTAAAAATGTATGCACAAGAGCAAGCTGATAGATATCAAACAAGCATAGTATGCGAACACACAAAGAAACACTGCCATGTGCTACATTTAGATATGTGTACAGGCAGACATAAAAGCTATGATTATTACTTGTTAATAATAAAATATATATTTTTAGTTAAACAAATGCATGATAGGAGCTCTGGAAAGCTTTAAATATGGTAAACAATTAGAATAAACCACTTTTATTGTTACTTTTTTGACTTTCTAAAGCTTGAAGGCCCGGTAGTTTTTTTTACTGGGAAAAAAGGTTGAATTGATAATATATGCACAAAAACAAATTGATTGATATTAAACAAGCATCGTATAGTATGTAATCATAGAAAAAACAATGCACTTTACTGCATTTAGATATGTGTGTACAGGCAGGCATGAAAGTTACGATTTATTATTTGTTGATAATAATAAAATATATATATATATTTCCCCCCCAGAAACTTCAAACATGGTAAACGATTTGAATAAACCACTTTTATTGTTACTTGTTTTTGTCTTTCTAAAGCTTTAATGCCCAGTATTTGGAAAAGAGCAATTTGAACATTCTGCTTAACGTCTTATTTTTCCCCACTCCTAAAATAAACATTTGGAAAGGTCTAAGGTGATTAAATGTAGAATTGTTCTCTTTTTTTTTTTTTGGAAAAAACTATAAAAAAAAAAAATACAAATTTGTAAAAATATGGGGAAAATAAGGTTGAGCTAAAAATGTAACAACAAGAACAAACTGATAAATGTTAAACAACCATAGTATAGGATGTAATCATAGAAAAAACATCGCAATTTACCACATTTAGATATGTGTGTACAGGCAGGCATGAAATCTGTAATTTATTGTTTGTTAATAATAAAATATATTTTATTTGGTCAAACAAATGCATTATTGGAGCAACAGAAAGCTTTAAATATGGTAAACAATTAGAAAAAAAACCTTTTTATTAATACTTTTTTGGTCTTTTTAAAGCTTGAAGCCCCAGTAGTTGAAAAAGAGCAGCTTGAACATTCTGCTTAATGTCTTTTTTTCCTCCCCACTCCCATAATAAGCGTTTGGAAGATCTAATGTAAGGGGATTAAATCTAGAATTTTTCTCTTTTTTTGTAATAAACTATAACAAAAAACATCTAAATTTGTAAAAATATGGGGAAAATAAGGTTGAGTTAAAAATATAAACACAAGAACAAACTGATACATATTAAACAAGCATAGTATAGTATGCACACATACAAAAAAAAACTGCAATTTACTACATTTAGATATGCGTGTACAGGCAGGCATGAAAGCTACGATATATTATTTCTTGATAATAATAAAATAGATTTTTTAGTTAAACAAATGCATTATAGTAGCACCAGAAATCTTTAAATATGGTAAACAATTAGAATAAACCACTTTTATTGTTACTTTTTTTTTTGTCTTTCTAAAGCTTGAAGGCCCGGTAATTCTAAAAGGGCAGCTTGAAAATTCTGCTTAACGTCTTATTTTTCCCACTCTTAAAATACACATTTAAAAAGATCTAATGTCGTGTTTCTCAACCACGTTCCTGGAGGACCACCAGCTTTGCACATTTTTTTCATGTCTCTTAACCAAACACACCTGATTCAGATCATCAGCTCATTAGCAGAGACTGAAAGACCTGTAATAGGTGTGACAAAGGAGACATGCAAAACATGCAGTGTTGGTGGTCCTCCAGGAGCATGGTTGAGAAACCCTAATCTAAGGTGATGACGTGGTTCTAGAATTTTCCTCCTTTTTTTGAGATGAACTATTCCTTTAGTATAAACTGGTGACCTCGCTGATGCCTTCGATGTTTTCGACACTTTCTATCTTTACAAGACAATCACTTTTACAAACGTTCTTTTATATATACAACGGTTGTCCTTGATATAATCATTGGCTGTTAGTAGTGTCACTATCAGCTTTGTATTGTTTTATTATTATGTAAAGGGGGGGTTGGAGGTAATTCTTTTTCTCATTTGACTTTTAGTTTTGCTACCTGCGTTGAATTTGAAGATAACAAACACTCGCTGAGAGCATGATTATATATAAAAAACACACTCCAAGTGCAATATAGCAATAGCGGGACTCGTGTTGAGTTCCCACCCACTCGACGACTTATTTGATCTCCTTCTCAGCATCTTTGAACAAAAAAAGTATTAGATAATCAAGTTATATTTTAGTACAAGAACAAACGCGAGTGGTTGGTGAGTTTTAAGGGCAGTTGTACAGTAGAAGCAGCTCGGGTTTCTGTCTCTCCGCTGGCCAAACACTTAAGCACTTGGCTTCGTTTCTATGGCAGCAAAGAGTCTTCTTTTTAAAAGAGAGACACACTGGGGATTCAACGCCAACAGTAACGGCTCCAATTATTGCTGATAACACACAAGTCTTCTATGCAGCGTGCGTATGTGTGTGTGCGTGTGAGAGAAAGAGCGTATTCATGTGTTTGTGTTTATTTTGCATGCGTGGTTGTGTGTAGTTGATCACCGATACTCAAAAACTGTTTCAAACTCAAAAGCCAAGTGAGAAAAAGAAGATATTTAATGTCTTTTTCTTAATTTTTTTTGAAAACAAATATAAATATATATATTATATTCTTGTTGACATATGTGAAAAGACTGATTCGCTCGAATATGAAGATATGGGCATTTTGTTGAAATGGTTTAGCCAAGCTTTTTTGTTATTGTTATCGATGTTGTGTTTTGTTGTTGTTGTTGTTGAAATATGAAATTGAATTGGAGGGAATTGTAAAGGGTGAACCTCCCGTTTCTGTCTTTTCATTCAGCCAAGGGAAATTTCTTCTGCAGAGGAATGTTAAGTATGATAAAGGCTTCTTAAGACTGTATATGCACACTTTCTATGCTATTTTCATAGGGGCTTGTACACTAATGACGGCTGTGGAGAGAAACTCTGAAGTGCTTTTTACTACAGTGTAACTTATTGTGTTTCAGTTGTGTTTTCCTCATGTGTTTTAGAATAATAAACAAGGAAAAACACAATAAACATGACCATTTGTAACAGTATTTGCGGAGGAATGTGTTTCATTGTTGTTTGTGCACTGAATGTCCACACGGTAGCACTGTTGGATCGTTTATTTTCTGACATTAGAAAAGCTGCAGTGATTACATGAAAATCTTTATTCAAAAAATGTAAATCGGGTATTACAGACATGTTTCAATAGGCATATGATGGTAAGTGGGAGTGAAATAAATGCTCATTTCTATTTTAAATATATTCCAATAAAGCATTTGTATTTTATTATTATACACTAAACAAAAAGATGTATAACACTAGTTAAAATAATTCTCAATGCTGATTAATTTATTAAATATTCATGGAAAATAGAAAAGTGTAACTGTCTTACAGTGTAACCTTTATTTGCTTAATATATTTATTTGTATTTAAAATACATATAATAACTGTTTGTTTTATATTATTATAAAACTACCTGAGAAAAGTTTTGTCGCCTATCCAAGTTTTAGGAACAACAAATATTAACTTGGCTTCTAGTTGATGATTTGGGCAAAGGCTTCTAGATTACGATTATTTTACTGAAATTAAACATGATCATGCCTTCATTTTTAACGACTTAATTTGGACAGTTAGGTCTGACTGCGCTTTGACAAAAGTCTTGTCACTTATCAGATATGATGTACAGTATAGAATATATAGTAATGATGCAGTGGAAAAATAATGAATATTATGTATGACTTCCAAGAGCCTGGAGGACTGCATCCATACATCTCTGCAATGACTCAAATAACGTATAAGTAAAGTCATTTGGAATGGCAAAGAAAACATTCTTGCAGGACTCCCAGAGTTCATCAAGATTCTTTAGATTCATTTTCAATGCCTTCTCCATTTTACCCCAGAAATGCTCAATAATGTTCATATCTGGTGACTGGCCTGGCCAATCCTGTAGCACCTTGACCTTCTTTGCTTTTAGGAACTTTGATGTAGAAGCTGAAGTATGAGAAGGAGCGCTATCCTGCTGAAGAATTTGACCTCTCCTGTGGTTTGTAATGTATAAATGTAACGCCAAACCACAATTTTTCCATCATCAAACTTGACTGATTTCTCTGAAAATGTTGGGTCCATGTAGGTTCCAGTAGGTCTTTTGCAGTATTTGTAATGATTGGGATGCAGTTCAACAGATAATTCATCTGTAAAATCTTTGCTTTTCTTAATAATCTACTATAGAAGTCAAGCTAATATTTGTTGCTCCTTTAACTGGGATCGACGACAAGACTTGTCAGGTAGTCTACACATAATAAAGACAAAATGAGATATATAACAACACAATAACAAAATTCTAAATGCTAATTAATCTATTCAAATTCTAACATCTTTCATGTCAAAATATGAGTGAAATAATGTTTTGTCTTTCAGCCTAACTCATTTGCTAAAAAATGAAACATCAGTACTTATTAAAATTAGTAAAACGATAAGTGATCAAACTAAATTTTATTACATTTCAAATTATTAAAATCTAAATTGCTGACAAATACCAAAAACCTCAACCTGTGTTTTTAAGGATATTGGATTTACAGATTTGATTGCTCTTAATGCCTGCCATTGATTTTTGTTCTATAAATGAAATTGTGAGGCTGAATTACACCTTTATTAGTTTTGATGCTTTGCAGCTGAAAAAAAAAGTATTTGGCTTTAACTGACCTGTCTTTCCCTGTAACATCTGCATTTGATCCATTTCTGAAGAACTATAAAGCTCTGGCATAAGCTTAGAGAGTTTGTCAAAGTATTTCTCACGCACCTCTTTATATTTACCACAGTGAAGGAGAAATGTCTGCCTCACGGAAAGCACATAACTCTGCACAATTGCATATTATTAAAATAACATCAGCATAATGCAAATTTAAGCAGTACCGTAAGACAAAGTTGACATTTTCAAGTTGTTGAGAGTTCTTAGTAAAACACTGTATTACCTCAAAAACGCTCGTTTTTCCCCTTTATATGCCTGTATATTTTGCCAACATAATAGGTAATAATCAAACAATAAAACACACCGTTGATTTTTGTCGTGTGTCTATAAAAAACTCATGAACTTGAACTTTGTTTGGAATTTTGCATTGTTTTCCTACCAACCCTTGGGTGGCGCCAAACCCTGCCAAATGATCCGCCATCAAGTCCTGCAGTTCAGCTCCAAGCATCCATACGCGGATGGAAAGCAATTATGTAATTTAGTGCAGAACATTCTGATGGATAAACAAAGAAAGAGAAGAGTCATCGTAGCTAAAACACGTATAAACAATCCCGACTAACAAAAACAAATATGTCCTTTTAGCAATTCAAATGAAAGGATTGTATGTTTGACAGAGATGGATTTTTAGCTTTACTCTCATGCAAACTACAAATGCATGAGCAAACTTTTACTGGAAAACTATGCGTGGAAACCAGTCCACCACCTGTACACACTGACCAGAGACAAACACATCCGATCCACCACAATGTAAACAAAAGAAACATTCAAATATAGAGGGGGAAAAAAGATGACTGGAGCTGTACATTTGACAAGAATACCCTATTTCAGTTTTTTTGTACTAAGAAAATTTACGTCTATCTAATTGTTTTTGTCCAGATGTCAAAGCTGCTCTGTTTGTTGTTAGGATGACCATTTTAAGTTTAAACTGTTTTCTAACGTGCACCACATTAAATAAACATGTTTCATCAGTTTTTTTTACTAGTAGCCTACCCTCAACTCTCAATGATGACCAATTAAGTCAAGAGGGCGGGGCTTAACCTTTCACAAGATAAGTAAATACCATAAGCACTAGAGAGTCTAGGGTAAGACACTAAGCAAAAATGTTTGTAATTTAACAACTGTTTTTCGACGGTAATACAAAACGACCTACAGTAATTCCTGTTTTGTGAAATTATTGGAATCGTTTTCGTGACAGAATAGTGCACACTGGAAAAAAAACACACATTAGGCTACCCACAACGGCTGTTAGTCTTGTTTGCTAGCACAATCACCACTATAATGGCAATATAATACTATAGCCAGGGATGGGCAAAAATACATGGACATGTATTTAAAATAAAATGTCAAATACCTCAGTTTTACATCTGTTTTACATACAGCTGTTTGTTTCCGAGAAAGCGTGCATGCACGCCCAATGACGCCCACTTCAGTGAACACAACCTGCATAGGCTGTGAATAACAGGTAACGAAGTTGTAAATAGCGTTCAGTTTGTTGCACAGAGCGATCGTTTGAGGGTCGTACGGGAGGTTTGATTTGCATGTGTGTTTTTTCTCACAGTGACAGCAGCCATGAGCCGCACTCAGAAGTAAAAGTGAAACCACATTTAAATGATCATATCGCATTTTACAGTTATGATTACGACAAGCATTTGATATGTTTTTTTTTCTTTCATAGCGAACACAAAGTGTTGTGCATAAAAATAAATGTTTACCGTGTCAGTATAACAACCCTAGCCTATATAGGCTATAATGTTGAATATAATGCAAGGAGTCTGATAATGACAAAATTCTAATTTTTCCAGTGAAAACAAATGGTCTAATAATGTGTCCAATGACATGATAAGCACATGTCTTCAACATAATAAATCAATTCCAGAATTATGATTAGTTATGTTCTGTCATCATTTTTCTGTGAATTAGCACACAGGACACATTTAAAGTCTGTTCAATTTAGCATTTTAAGCAACAGTAGACCTACACATAGGCTTAATATTATTGTTGTTTTAACATATATGTTTGAGAATTAAAAATAATAATAGGCTAATCATATTAACCTTTATTTTACATCGTGAGAAAATCGTGATCTCGATTTTAAGCAAAAAAAAAAAAAAAAATCGTGATTCACATTTTTGCCAGAATCGTGCTGTCCTACCTATAGGCATCGACTGAGAAAGCATCAGGGCCGGAGTGGGACTACTTTTCAGCCTACTTTTCAGCATCAATCTGAGACCGCATTTGTATGAAGTCATCATGTAGACTTCTTACAATGTATTACAATGTAGTACTTTGATACAAAATATAAACCCATTATCATCAACTTTATCAAAAACAAACTACAGAATACTATTTTGTATTTAAAATATGTATTTTAAGTACATGTATCATAAACACTGCCCATCCCTGACTATAGCACTATTTTGAAACTCAAGTGTTCTTTGACAACAGTAAACCCTTTTTTTGTGTTGTTCTACCTTAATTTCCCTAAGTCAATTCACACTCTGTATTCATTCCATTCTGATGTTTGCTTAAGTTATGAAGTGATACATTTTTCTCATATGATAAATTTTCAGGTGAAAAGCAAACAATTTTGAGGAAGACAGAAAAATGGTTAGATTTGAGCTCTGGAGCTGTATTCTCGCTTCTCACGCTGTAATATGAGTTTTCCAGGCCAAAATCACGGTGCTAAAAACTGACTAAACCAATGAAACTCATCATGCTTTTTGTTTTAAACAGCCATTTACTAGCAAAGTCAGTGAAAATAGTTTATAGACCTATTATTGTGTGTACCAACTGTGGTTAGTTGATGCAGCGAAGAGAAACATCCTGGAGGTGTTGTGTTGACTGTTGCTGTGGTGTAGAGGCCATTGGTTAAAAACAAAACCCAAATGTGTGTTCAAAAATGAACACCAGGGGATTTTGGGAGACTCAAACAAGAACAGTGCGAGGTGGTTTTGTGCATTCCTTTTTCTCTCCCACTTGGAGGAGATGCAGAGATAAAACATAATTGCTGCAGAGAGATGATTGTAGCGTTTTTTTACAACATATGGAAGCAATCAGAGATCAGAAGGGATCAGTTTGTCTTATAGAAGGACGCACAAAGACAGAGTTTGCTCAATCTGCAATGCAAACTTCAGTAAAATAGTGTGTTTGGAGGAAATTTCAGCAAGCCATTTGTAACAGATGTGAAAGGTGTGTTCATTAATCAATGGAAAAGGCCACAAGTCACTGGCAGCATCCGTTTTGGCCTAATGTCCCGCAGGGCGATGGGAGCTTGTTTAAAAAAAAAAAGAGATGAAGACAGCA